ACCATCATAGTCTTTTTTGCACTAGAAACTGTCTGGAGACCTTGTAAATTGTAAACCTATATAATTGTTCAAACCTATGAAAAATAGTACTAAGTCCATACTACGTTCAATAAGATACATACGTAAGATGACTACGATAATTACTACGACATTTACGACGACTACGACAACGAGTACGGTTACTACGGCGACTACGACGACTACGACTACTTTTTATGTGATAGGAGGTCAAACGAGCAGACAGATTACCTGATGAATAACAGAGGAGTTACGAGTGAGTTGCCGACCAGTTGGAGATTAGGGTTTAGGGGTTTAGGGTTTGGAGGAATCCTTCCTGGATTTGGCCTCCGACAACCACACTAACACGGAAAAATACCGCGTTGTGTTGTTTCACGCCGGTTTTTTTGTGAGGCGGTAGTATCACTCCGGTCGAGCCGACCCATTCTTGCCGAAGCATGGCTCTCCCACACTTTACTACGACGACTACGACAACTATGACAGCGACTTAGACTACAACGATGACTAAGACGACTACGACTGCTACGAGGACTACGACGACTAAAATACAATTATGTATACTACGCGTGATACGTATGATATTGATATGAATGATATGATATGATACGTAGGTACAGTGCCTACAGGTTTGACTGCTTCAGAATATGTAGTTGTAGTTAGTCTTCGCTTTCTCTATCCTTGTATCCCTATGAAAACTATGCAACGAATTTTGATGCGATTAATTTTATACATAAAGAGGAAGGTTTATATGTATAATAGTACCCATTAAACAGTGGAGGAAAAAAATAATATCAGCGTTGTCCCCGTGCGAGTGGGGGCTAGACGGGCCGGGCCGGGTCGCTAGTATGAAATATTTTTAGACACAAAACAGCGTTCTCGTAATGATAAAATTCAAAAGAATAAGTTATCTTAACAGAACTGGATCAATTAAGTTACCATACCAAAAATGCAAATTTAGGTCATAAGAGAAGTTCGGAAAGTTAAATTCCGCTAATTAAATTACGTTTTTTAGTTAGTAACGTTTGTACCAGCTGCTTTTTCTCTAACGAGGACATGCAGATATGTACTTTTAGACTTCTAGGTCCCGAGAACTCAAAAAAAAGTTTAAAGAAAGAAGAAATTTTTGGAATCCGAAAGTGCAGTAGATGCTAACACGGCAGCGCTACACTTTCCCTCGTATCAGTGTTAACAAAGTTGGTAAAAACGTTAATAAATTATTGACGATTGCCAACATCGCAACGCAACTGCTGAAACGTGCAATCCATACTTACCGAACCAACGCGATGCCATACGATACGTCTAAAATAATAATATTGTACCGGCTTATAATCTGGTTCTCGACTATACACATTATTTACTCAAGGTGTTTGATTGTCCGTGCATTCAATTGTTTAAAAACCAGCTCACAATCTATATCAATTAATTGGAAATTATTTATTGCTCATACCCAAAACCATTTCGTGAGCGCAACCAATTTCTAGTATTCGTAGTGCAATGAAAGCAGTCTACAATTTGAAACTTCAGCCATAATAGCTTTCTACAGAATATCGAGAGCGGTCTGAAGCATTTTACAGTCAATAAATGTCTGCAATTGCAATCATTACGTTCCACACGTAATAGAAGTGCCAAACATTGACCAACATCCATTGACACTACAAATTTCATTCACTTCCTGTTAGGAAGTTACTTATTATACTACTAAAACTATAAACAGTGCGCAATTATAAGGTAACATTGCACACGGAATCTTTTTTCTTGGCGGAAATCGTCGTAACATCCTCCGATTTCAAAGAAACCAACATTGAACTCGAAATTTCGTCTAAACCAAATAATTGTTATTATACAGCTACATGTTTCAAAGGCAGCATCCATCGATTTAGTTGTGGGCAAAAAATCTGACGCTGTACTGTCAACGACCTGTGGTTAACTTTTGCATGACGTAAGCTGCGATTAGGGGAGCAAAGCATTGTACGTTGTACAAAGCAGACAGTTGACCCCACTTCTAAATAAAAAGATGACAATAGAAGACAACGCAATATTGTTCTTGAGGGTACAAAGGTAACACCTCAAATTGATTAACTGCTTCAATTTGCAAGCAGTTTAATTTAATTAAGATCTGTACTGGATGGAATAACGAAGCTAGGTATGATCTCATTGAATCATAAAAACGCCACAGTTATAGATGGTGAGAATTAAAACATATAGTGGGTACAACTAGGCAACTAGAAATAAATAATTGAGTGAATTAGCGAAACGGACGAAGTCTATTGAAATACCTATTTCCAACGAAGAACCTGGTTTTAAAGAAACAATTTCTCTATAAAGCATAAGTATTGTAAAAAACGTTTTAATAATAGCTGAAGCCTTACAAGGATCAGAGAAAAAAAACCTGACATGATTACATGCCCTGTCGAAGATGGCGAACGAAACAGGCTCTGAAAAACCGGCTACAACATAAGAACGGTCATCCAATTGGTCCAACACTACAGCAACCAGGTTTTACGAGTATCTTATGGTATATAAACTAATTGATATAGATACGTATATTATTTTTTGCCACTAAAAGAGAGCGCAAAATTGAAATAATGTTCTACCGTAAACAGGCTTTGGTTATCTTTCCTTAATTAAAATTGTAAGTAACTATCATCACTATCTACTTATTAAATTAAATCAGAACAAAATTTTATACTATCAGATAAAAAATAGTAAAGATTAGTATTGTGGATTGGTAAAAATTCTCACAAAGTAGATAAATAAATCCGCCTCAAAGATAGTTAAATAATCTAGTGTGAATGAAACCAGACTATGTAATAAATTTTTTTGCTTCGACTAAAAACCATCTTAACAGGTACCTATGTCCCCCAGGCATACTATATATTGCGTATGATGTTCCTACCCAACTTGTAGACCTCCATATTATTGTGGCCAGTCATAATATTGTAGAACAAACGGGGTTGCGGTTATAATCTGTTATTTCATCCAGTTATAGTAAACGTTAATATTTTTAAGATAACTCAATTTTATCCATGCAGTAAATAGGTAGGTATGTATAGAAATGGTACAGTGATCTCAGTCGATTCTGAAATAACAATCTCGATGCTGAGCGAATTTAAAACTAAAATGGGGTCAATACATGGGTACAATTCATTTTATTATTGTGCGTAATATGCAAAGACAGTAAAGGCTACAATATCCTACCAGTTTTACTACATGAAACGTCCTTGGCAGTGATTTTTACAGCTACCCACCCGCACCACCATCGTTCAAGATCTAACAATGGTTCAATACGATAAGGCTTACCTTGGACATTTCGTCAACTTTGCAGAGATATCACTCTTAACACCTTTTTTCACTTCTCCATATTTGGCGTATTTAACGCATCGGGTTTACAATTTGTCGTCGAAACACTGGCTAAGCGCGGAAAAATTCGTGTCGCATTTTCGAGACGCCGTTTCGTGGCGAACACCCGATCAATACTGTCGGTCGGTGTGTCGTTACCGGCGGATAAGGTAAAAAACACAGCGTTGGTTACGCGTGCGCGCGCAATCTGTTGTTGACTGACACGGCGCATGTGTGTCGGATGCCGCGACCCCTGCCTGCCCAACTACCAGGGACATGAGTTTGCAGCAATGCCACAATTCCTGACAATTACTTTTTCATTGCATTTTAATATAAACAACAATGAAAATATTAACTAATAATGACAGATAACGGATGATGTTATTATTAACTTAGTGATAAGTAGTAATGATAATGATGCAATTATTATCATAATCATCACCATCATCATCGTCATCATTATCAACACAAACACCTCTCACATTCATATTCCCAACCCTGAAATCCTTAATCTTTTTACTTTTCAAAACCCAAACTAAAACCACAAAAAGCCGGCAACGCAGTTCAACGTACTTGTAACTTTTTGGTATTGCAAGTGCCCATTGGTGGCGCTGATTGCTTAACGTCAGGTTTTTTTTTCTTTTATCAGGTGATGCATTATCTCGTAAGCCGGCCCATTAGTTCTTAACTTTTTAGGTACTGACCTTCAATGGCTCGCTACATAACTTGCGGGCCGCCTTGTGGAAAGGGATCACCATAGCTTTAGTATTGGAACTACCTCGTACTAGCAACGCACAGCAGATGCAGGGCTGATTCTAGGGTGGTACGTTGCGTTGCAACCAAAACGTGAGACTAAAGACGTGAAGAAAAGCAGGTGTAGAAAACTTTCGAGAAACCCGCCTCCATGAACGTAAGGAGTCCGTCCATAAATCCAGAGATGTCAACTATGGACCAAACAGACGTAACCCCCATTGGATGTTCAATAATGTTCAATCTTTGACAGCTACACACATTGGACAAACTGATGATTTACTAGAAATGCTAGATAAGCGTCAAATTGTGATTAAATATCTGTGCCACTGATCAGAAGAAACTACTTTTACGCACTTCGCACGGGGGGTAGGCATTCTGTACCTAGAGGCCAGGTTCCCACAAAGTTAGGTTTTTCTTTCAAGGGGGTGTAATCAGTATATGACGTCTCTAGCAGTAGGTTGTTGAGTAACACTCCGGGTGTTATACTCTTGCTGACTAGAAGCATACCCGTGCCTTCTCCTGTTCTGGGCCAAGCCTTGGTACTTTATTGCGCTTGCCAGCCCTTATCAGCCCTTATCATGGGTGTTCGAACATGGTTATACACAACATGGTGTTGAGATGGAAATATTTATTGGCAAAAATTTAAAGTTAAAAACCAATAATAACTAGTATTCATCCGTGTCTTAGACCTTAATAAATGCTTAAAAATTGGAAGTCGTTAAAACAAATAATTAATAGAAAGCTATGTCCATTAGACCAAAAAGACTAAGGGTCAAAGCATATTCATGGAAATAATGACAATTCGCTACAAGACAGTAGACAGTGACATTGACATGTTGATTTTGAACAATGTTGTGAACAGTTGTGAATGCGGATTGAAAGCTTATACCTACTTTCATCGGATAAATGCGAAAACGATATATTTAAACGATAAGTTTTAAAATTAAAACCCGATACGAACGATATTCAAACGAGTAGTACAATAACGGTCTAAATATATTTTGTTGGTATATTATAAACAGTTACAATGGTGAATTCATCGCTTACAAAATTCTGTATTCAAGATCTAATACCAGGGTCGACTAAAACAAGTGGTAAAAAGGTTGATGTGGATGCAATTTTACCATATCTCATTGTACCAGGATTATTGTTAATAGGTAGTATATCGCGTACAATTACCATTACTGTAATGGTAGTTATTGCCATGGGTGCTTTATACGTACATTCCAGACCACGGCAGAAGAACAGGTACGCTCTCTACTTTCACTTTATAGAATAATATTCGCTTAGGAAATGTCTTACCATATTTATGAATTTAAATTTTTAACTTGTGCAGGATTAATTAAATTATATAAATCTGTGATTCGCATTCAGTATAATAAAATTGATAACGCGATAATGATGATTCATTATTATATTTAGTTATTGCCTTGACCTAATATGAGTCCGTCTACCAAATATAGAAAGACAATTGGTAATTTTTATTTTACTTTTCTATTGTGATAATTCAAGACACCATTAAATACCAATAGGTGCATGAACATGGGCATTTCCTTGGGGTTTGATGAATTAATAAAAATAAATTAGTGTATTGTTACATATCATCATCATATTAAGTGTGTGTCAATAAGAAATAAATTAAGCAAATGTTTGTTTACAGGTCCCCATTTTTCTTTTCATGGACCATATCATCTGGACTTTATATGTTCCTGGTATTTGAGAATGGTATTTTGTGTTTCCTTGAAATAACTATGTTGGAAAATTCTATATTCCTACTACTTTTCCTTTGCACTTTATATTTCTTCTATAAAATGAAATCAATTGCTGAGTATGAGTTGACTGGAACTGGGACCAAAGGAAAGGAATACAGGTATCAGACTTAATACTTTTATAAAATTCAAGTATTATATTTATCCGCTGTTCAGCTGTTGTTGTTTGTAGCATGATAAGTAAACTATCGTACACAAAGGAAAAAAATCAATTCTAACCAGTAGTTTCAGATTCAGATATCTACTTGCTGGCAAATAAACAAACTTCTTAGTCGTTTAGTAAATTTTTTTTCTTCTATGTAGTCAAGTGCAGATCTACCATAGGAGGCACAATGGGCATACCATAATACATTTTAGACATCACACTTTTATTGCCCATTAAAAAAAATAGAACTTAATTTTTAAGTCTTAAGTGCTTGAATTTAGAATAATAGAATAATGTTAGGTTGGTGGCAACAATTTGAGCTAGTCAGTTTTTAAAATACAACTTCAGAACAGACAGACAAAAAAAATTATGCAGCAATTTTTAGTTGATATGTTAGAATATGGCTAACTCATTAGGCCTACAATGCATGATAATGCATGATCCTAAAATTCCTGCTTGATTTTAAAGTACCCTGAATCATGAACTTCACAAAGTAAAACCAAAGCCCAGAGAGAAGTAAAAAAGTGTTTGCAAAAAAATTTAGGATTTTTAGAATTCAATTGGTAAAGTTGAAAACCTGGGGGTGAGAAGTGTTTGATTATTTTCCCCTGCCAAAAAAAAAAGAAAAAGGCCCCAGTTTGAGAATCTGTAATACAACTAGGGACCCAAAAAACGATTACGACTATACACTGACAGTATTCAGTATCCCAATTCCAATCTGTATGGCATATAAAATTATAAGGTGATGACAGTGTTAAGACATAGCAGGTGGAAAACAGGTGCTTTTGTGTTTTATTCTTCCAAAAACTCGCAGCAGTACACAATTTTGTCCTTAAAAAATCCATTGTGCAGACAAATGGCTATCTTCAGACTCGTCAAGATACGTCGGCCGTACTGTACGACTTTGAATGTGTAAAAGTACTTATGATTTTACTTAATTTCAGCCCAGTCCTGACTTCAGATTCATATTATTGTCAAATATGTGAAATTGAAGTCAATGAGAGATTTTTCCATTCAATATGGTGAGTGCATTACATGAATAAACAAATCGTCTGCCTTTCTGGATAACTTTAATTTGTTTTATGGTTATAAAACAATAAATAGTATCTTATTTATTTATAACATTCCTTATAGTATAATTTTGGCTATAACACTTAGCAAATCCTGCCAACTTAGTAGATTATATTTTGAGGATTTGGTAATGGCACAGGACTCTGATCAAGTCCGTTATTGAAGCTTTTGTCCAGGGATTTTGTTTTTGTAGGATATGATGATGATAGACTCAACCAAATACAAAATCCATTCAATGAATTTAGAAATTGCTCTTATTTCAGGTGGGACTGCTGTGTACTCAGACCTAACTATCTTCACTTTCTTGCTGGCCATACATTCGCTTTGGCCACGCTCCTCCTTGGAACCAACTTGGGCCTAACAACAGTTTGTCAGCCATTCATATTTTATGGTGCAATACTCATGCCATTCGATTGTGATGACATTTATTATGACTTCAAGTAAGTTCCTTTTTATTGTGCCTGTAGAATGTTCCTGTGACCAAGTTGATTTTCTATAACAAAATACTAAATGTTATGAAAATATTTAGTTTTTATTCCGCAAAAAAAATTCAGACTTGTTGCAGGATGCAATCCCACTCCTATGCAATCATGCATATGCACATGCAGCTAAGGTAACATGCATATGCACACGTGCAAAAAACGGAATAGCCATGCTAGAGGCCCATATTCATGAGCAGCATTCCGCGACACACGCGACGCGATGACTGTACCAGCGCGACAGTCGCCGCGTCGTGTGTCGCTGGCTTGAAACTAATCGAGTATCTCGTCAAATTATTACGCGAGTAATCCGAAAACATAATAATTAATTTAGAATGACTCACGAAAGTTATAATAAAAACATGCCACGCATTCAAACCTATACTCGACACGCGTTTCGCCCCTCCACAGGGCTTCCTCAGGAGATGTTGATTCGACGAACGCTCGGCTTTATGCATCCTGCAACTAAATATTTTTCATAACATTAAATGTCATGGATTTCCGCAAAGTAACGCCTGAATATCTATGAATTATATAACAAAATAGTACAGGTAGATGGAATGATTTGAGAGAAAAGTTTTTCTTTATTACCACTCATCTATCTTTATTTATTTTACCAACTAAAATCCACCCTGTCCATTCTCTTGTTCCAAGCCGGGCTGCGGTTCATCATAGCGCACTCGCAGCCCCAGCTGGACATTGGGCTTAGTAGGCCCCATACGCTCGAGCCTTATTCCGATAAGGCGGCGAGCTACCCCTGCTCGCCATTCGAAGACCCGCGCTTAAAGTGGTCAATCTTCGTGCGTTCCGCGACGCCCAGTTAGTAGAAGCTTAGTTACTTATCCTTTTTTAATGGGGAAAAACATTCAATAACTTTCCACCCAGTGTCGGGAGAGAGATAGTGTCATACTTTTATTGACTAACAACTGCTTCGTTCTTTCTTCTGGTCCGGGCTGGGGCCATGCTATATTATTGCACTTGCACCCGCAACTCCGGCAGGATAATATATGGATATTTTCCTGCCGGAGTTGCAACGTCTTTTGCAACGCACCTGTGACTCCTCTGGTGTTGCAGGTGTCCATGGGCGGCGCTGATCGCTTACCATTAGGTGATCCGTCTGCTCGTTTGCATCCTATTCGATAAAAAAATCCAAAGAGCCATCCTCTATTAGGCGCGAGTGAAATGCGACGCGTCGCACGCTCGGGTCTGGTTCCGATCGGGTGATGATGTAACCCTTACTTGCCGTCCATAGACGTTTCCTCAGGCATGAGTAGGATAGTTCATTCTACCCGCCTCCTTTTTTGCGAGCATGACGGCTTCCAGTTCGTCTCGCTCCGCACCATGACCTTGACTAAGGCCGGGCGCGAGAGCTCACCATCGCTGATCGCGACCTCAGGGATCATCTTCCCTGAGGTCGCGACGGTGTTCACCTTAAGCAGGGCACATCACCACTCATCCTACTAACCTAAACTACGAATTTCAAATATTTTATCATAGTTTCAAACCTTCGCGCGTAGGACGTCGTTTGAGATCCTTGAGATTGGACTAAACACGGAAACGTTGATTTATATTTAACAACTTTACATTCTTTAGAATATCAGATGTAGATACTAATTTCAAAACATTTGCAGAATGGCGATATGCTTCGTAACGAGTATTTACGCATTAGGATACGCATTAGTAGTGGCCCTGGTTTTAATTCGACAGCTGATTGTCTACCTACCAAAATACAGTGGTAAGTAGGATCATTTTGTAATCTACAGTTTCATTTCCAATCTATAGTAAATGCCTCAACTTATTTAAACTTAAGGCTGATTTTTCAATGGTTAGATAAAAGTTTCGTTTGTTGTAGTTGTTTAGTTTTTTTCGTCAGAATGTTTGTATTGTATAAGGCAGTGACAGCAACAATTTTATTCCTCACATAACATTTATCTGACTATTGAAAAATCAGCCCTTAAATAGTACTTCGGCACAGAGCATCTGCTTTAGGAAAATTTAATTACTTAAGAAACCCAACAATAAATACGTAATTGAAGTAGAGAGGCTGAGACTCTTCATAATCGCTCTTGTGACCTGTAAGTGGTAACCATTCAATAAACAACAGATCTATATTTTTGACAGAAGCTTCATACAAATAATTTAAAATCGCTCTTAGTCGAAATACCCATCTATTGATGATTTAGGTCTTAGGCAAACAAAAAGATATAAATTACAACATTTTACAACGGTTTTTTACAGAACCACAATGGAAAAAACTAGTCAACGGACTCAATGTATGAAGGGAAACAACATCTTGGGTTGTATAATTTGTATGCGCTTTAGTACCTACTTCGATTCTTTACGTTCCTTTTAGGTATGAATGAATGTGATTGTGTATAGTATGGCGATCGTCGCTTATTTGTTTTGGTTAGCGCTATCGGCGTTTCATCCTATAAACGTTTTACTCTTGATTTCAATAAAGAAAAAATTTTGACTAAACATTGAGGTAGGCATGGCGGGGCAGGAGTCTAGTGATGGGAATCATAATCTAGTTTTGTCTATGGCAAAACTAGATTATGATTTAGTTTTGTCTATGACAAAACTAAAACTAATAATGGTGGCACATTAAACTAATCAGGAGGTAACAAAAATTGTTGTAGGTACCTACGATATTAGATTAGTAAATGACACAAACAAAATTAAATAGCAAATCACTAATGCCGGGGCTTTTTTTCTCATTTTACATGCCAAACAACATGTAAGTCAAAATAGCAACAGATAACGCAATGAAAGAAATAAGTACATGTTACTTTCCTCCAGTAATTGATTTTAAAATTATTCTATTTTTAATGTAGTCGCATTATTTTCCCGTATCCAACGCTATGGATTTGAATAACAGTTTTTTTTATTATTCATTATTTTTTATTATATCTATAGGACAGAGAGGCATGCTTACTTTTAATATACTTTACCTACATATAAATAAAACAAGTTTTTTGGACGTCGTGTATTATGCGTTGTGCTTGCGATTAACATTAAACCTATACATACTTAGGTAATTCGGATGTGTTGTCTATGTTCTCAAAACGAGTTCAAGGAACTTTATAGGGTTTAAACGTCGATGGTTAGCAAAGATATGTTTGTGTTAAATCTGTCGTGAAACGTACTAAATCAGTTGAAAATAACGGCTTGCGTAAACTACATATTGCTGATGGAATTATGTAATTCCGGTGTGATTTGAAACTATTATGCAGTTTTTCTCAATTAGTTAATGTTAATATAAGTACCTAAGCCGTTATATTCTATGAATTTATCAAAGATATTTTTGTATTACTAAGCTAGTCTTTATTATTTATAAATTACTTATTCCTTTTTTTGTTTTTCGCGTAGGTAGGTAGAATTCTCAGGATATTTCAAGTTTCAAGCTAATTTCACATATCTTATACCTACCTACCAACTAATAAATAAAAGAACAAATCCTTCATGCCTATTTTGTTATAAGTTTTTAATGGATAATTTTTTGTTCATACTATATTTCTACCTACCTACGAATGTGTAAGTATTTTAATACTGTTTAATACGGTATGCATGTGTATGTATACTATAATGAATACTCGTGATTTCGTTATAAGAACTGTCGCTCAGATTCAGTCATTGTCAGGCGCTTATGAGACGAACAGATAATAGATGCATTAAGATTTTGTTAACTTTTTAATTAAAATGTAAATGTCTTTGTTGATTTGTTGTATTATATTTATGAAGACTTTGGCTTAGCAGTGTGTAAAACATATTACCTACTCTGTAAGATTAAAGGTAATTTCATACTAGCTATGTGAAAACTTAAAATTGTGCTCGCGCTCTTCGCAGTGACTCTCTGCGTGAAGCTTCGATTTTAAGCTAGTACCTACTATGACTGATCCTAAATCGTAATTTGTTTTACATACAATTTGTTAAGGTCCATACTTATGATCTTCTTAAATGATAAATAACTCGACATTTCATTACTCCTTAGTCCTAAGTTGTAATTTGCACAAACAACCACAAACCGTACTTACCTACTAGGTAGGTAGGTACACATGGTTTTACATAGCTACCAATACCAAATTGTAAAATTTACAATTGTTAACTAAGTAATAAAATAATATTAAACATTTATTCGCTAGCATAGTTCCGAAGATATTGGGTAATCCTACTTTGTATGGAATTTCGACCCAAATTGACCACTTAGGGCATTCAATAAGAATCTACATAGTAGGTACTTCTTGTTGACTCTGCACGCCGCCGTGGCTGGGCAACATTTTTATGTCATCCACAAATACGGTAGTTTTCAAACAGTCAAACTCAATACTTATATCCAAATGTCAAAAACAATACTTTTCTACGAAATTTGTATGAAACACTGAGTTATGACGTCATAGTAGGTATTTTGCGTCAAAAACTTTGTTTAAAAAATATCTAAAAATTATGTAAAAATTAGTGTATCGATCGATCGATGAATGAAAGTACCTATAGTTATATTTCGATATTTTATTGTATTGAAACGTCGGATTAATTTATTTTTGGGACACCTAGGAACTACCTACCCAATTGTTGTTACACGTCTGGGATCCATAAAAACGTGCAGCAAAGTTTTATAAAAACAAATAGGTAACTAGTTTTTATAGTTGGTACCTAAGCATTTATTTAATATTAATTTATTATACAACTAAATTTGTTTCTATTTGAAACCTCTGAATATAACTCAATTTATGTGATTTTCGATTTAAGAAAATATGTTAGGTAATTGAAATAAATTCAATAGGACACCTACAAAATAAGTTTTTTATTTTAATTTTCAACTTGCGTGTTGTGGTTAAAAAATGTAAACCATGGAGATAAAGATATAAAACAATATCGTGCCAAAAGAGAAATTTTAATATGAACTGAAACTTCAACTTCACAAAAAAATTAGGTACAACGTACATACTTATATGGCTAACTAAAATTAATTCGTATATGACCTAGGTACAGTCAGCTCCAAAAGTCGATGAACAGAATCAACTTACCAAAACACCTGTTCACAATAAAATGCCATAAGTTATAGTCACAACTAGGAAACAAAATAGCCTGTACATCAGAAATTTACAAAAGTCGGTAAACACGACTAATTCAAAAGTATCTGTGCACTATAGTATTCCGAAAGTCGCTGTACACCATCAATCCAAATGTCGCTGAACATCATTGTATCAAAAGTCAGTAAACAGCAGAAAAGTCAAAATTAGGTTAACAAAGTATATTTTTAATGTTGCACTGTGTTAATATAATTTTGACGCTTATGTTGTTCAGCTACTTTTGGGACAGTGTAACTTAATAATGTATATTAACACGTTAGTATCTTTTTCAATACTTATTTAAAAATTAATCATATAATTAACCGACTTTAAAAAAAGGTGGAGGTTCTCATTTCGTCGGGATTTTTTTTTTTTGATGTTAACCGATTACTTAAGGCTCCTGGACCGATTTGGTTTTTTTTTTTGTTCATTAGGGTATGATTTCCAGGTTGTCCCATGTTCACCAGGTCAAGATCTGATGATGGAAACCCAGAAAAATCGAGTGGAAATTTAAAATTTTATAGGAACAGTCGGCATGATTCGTATATTTTCTGAAGTTATTCAGGTAAATACGTCAACTTGTCGATGGTTGAACTCGAGCTGATGATGATGAAACCGAAAGACAGTCGAGGGATTTCCTTGACTATTTGGAGTAATTGCCTTGTGTTTGGGCTTGAATAATTCTTCTTGGTGAGCACTTTGCACCAAGACTGGTAGTGACTGTCACTAGGGGTCTGATGATGACAACGAAGGACAGCTCAGGGAACGCCTGAACGGTTTCCAGTAAATACCTCGTGTTTGGAATTAATTCATTTATATCAATAAAAACTTCGCACCTACATAAGTTACAATGAAGTTATGCAGTAAATCTGATGATGGAGCCGGAAGACCGTAGAGGGATCTCTTTAACTATTTGGAGTAATTATTTTGTGTTTAGGCTGGAATGATTCGTATTGGTGAGCACTTTGCACCTATATAGATTATGTAACTATGTTGAAGGTCTACAGTATACATAATGATGGAGACCATTGACAGTCGAGGGCATTCCTCAACAATTTACAGAACTGAACACTAAGGACTACTACTATTACCGTGATTTTCGGTCTCAAGTAGCCGTCGTCTTCTCATTCGAAACGCATTATCCTTGCTTGCTCTGCATATCACTTAAAATAGTGAAATAAAATAATTTTTAACAAAAAAAAATAATTTTCTGTGTACAAAGTAATACATGTTTTCATTTAGGTAAATAGAAAATAATATTAATAACTATTTTTATAATCTCGAAGTCGGGGCCAAGTAAGTGCCAGGTACCAAGTAAAACTATGATGATTGCTAGGTACCGATCAATACACGTTTCTAATACTGTTGTTGTTTGGTATGTAGCATTTACTTGGCACCTACTGCGAGATTATAAAAATAGTTATTATTATTATTTTCTATTTACCTAATTGAAAACATGTATTACTTTGTACACAGTAGTTTCTGTGTACAAAGTTGTCTACTTCGTAGATTGTTAGAGTGATGTTTATGTTATTTCATATTATATATTAGTATGATTACTGAAAATATGAATTAAGTTCAAACACGAAGTAGTTACTATAATCCGTTCAGGAGTTCCCTGTCCTTCGTTCTCATCATCAGACCCTTAATGACAGTTACGACCAAGCCTGGTGCAAAGTGCTCACCAAGAAGAATTATTCAAGCCCAAACACAAGGTAATTACTCCAAATAGTCAAGGAAATCCCTCGACTGTCTTTCGGTTTCATCATCATCAGCTCGAGTTCAACCATCGACAAGTTGACGTAAATACCTGAATAACTTCAGAAAATATACGAATCATGCCGACTGTTCCTATAAAATTTTAAATTTCCACTCGATTTTTCTGGGTTTCCATCATCAGATCTTGACCTGGTGAACATGGGACAACCTGGAAATCATACCCTAATGAACAAAAAAAAAAACCAAATCGGTCCAGGAGCCTTAAGTAACCGGTTAACATCAAAAAAAAAAAAAAACCCGACGAAATGAGAACCTCCACCTTTTTTTAAAGTCGGTTAATTATATGATTAATTTTTAAATAAGTATTGAAAAAGATACTAACGTGTTAATATACATTATTAAGTTACACTGTCCCAAAAGTAGCTGAACAACATAAGCGTCAAAATTATATTAACACAGTGCAACATTAAAAATATACTTTGTTAACCTAATTTTGACTTTTCTGCTGTTTACTGACTTTTGATACAATGATGTTCAGCGACATTTGGATTGATGGTGTACAGCGACTTTAGGAATACTATAGTGCACAGATACTTTTGAATTAGTCGTGTTTACCGACTTTTGTAAATTTCTGATGTACAGGCTATTTTGTTTCCTAGTTGTGACTATAACTTATGGCATTTTATTGTGAACAGGTGTTTTGGTAAGTTGATTCTGTTCATCGACTTTTGGAGCTGACTGTACCTACAGACTACTTACGATATCATATAGTATTTAGCGATTTATTTTTATATCGTTATCATTCACTTGTTGAGACTACAGAGCTTGTTCGTAATATTCGTATGTTCACGATTATAAGCAAAATTAATAAATAATCTAGGAATGGAAAAAGACAAAAAGTTGATTGAAATTAATCTTCAGGTGGTGTGTAGTCGGGTACAACTTGCAGTACTTTCTCTCGCCATCTTGCTTTCCGTGCTTCCTGTTCTCTTTTGAGTGCATTCAAAGCTGGTAGAGTCCTCCAACACGTAAATGTTCTAAATAGAAGATTGCTGTAAAAGAAAATAATTTACAAATCACGTACTTTTTTAACTTTTACCGTTCGACGAGATTACACTTAAGTTTTCTTTTAGGTTTTGGTAATTGTCCATTGAAATCTTCTCGCTCTGTGTGAACCGAGAGGGATTGTTAGACATCAACCTACTGCTACTGACCAAAGTGACCCCCGTTCCTTCTCCTGCTAAGCGCAATAAGCGCTATAAGGCACCGCAGCCTCGGCCTAGAGCAGAACAGGCCACGGCCCGTGCCGCACGGGATAGTTTTAGTCAGTAAGAGTCTGACACTCCCTCTCGTCCCACTTTGGATGGGAGAAGTCATTTGATAAAGAGGAGTTAAACATACTCGGTGGTGCGCTAAGCGTGGTGATTCGTACTCAAACTGTGTGAAAAGAAACACCTTTGCTCACTTAAACTCTGATATTGTAGGTAGGTATGTATGATTTTCATTTAAATTCATTTTAGAAAATTATAGTCAGTTATAGACATTGATAGTCAGTTCTAGTTATAGTCTTCAATAAAGCTACCAAAATATTGTAAAACAAATCGAGTTTATAGATCTTACCTGCTGTGGTACAAAACAGCTATTTGCCATTTCATCTCATTTTCCTTCCTTATAACATTTATTCCTTCACGGAATAGCCTAAATGCCATCTGTGTCAGGTACAAATCATAATAGTCATCAGCCACCTGTTTCTTCAAAACAAGCCCGTGATGATTCTGAAAAGCGTTTATTGTTTTAAAATATAACTATTTTAATATGCAACTTGAAATTAAATTGCACCGACAGTTTTGAAGTCCTTTGACCCAAGAAAAAGACCAATTTGGCTTATTTACAAGGGCTTACAAGTATCTCTATAAAGTTGTTGGCCTTACACCCTTAAACTAACAAACTAAATATAACCTATTACTATTGTAGAATGGTATAGATGGTACTAACCCTTTTAAAAGCATCCAACGCTTTTCGTAACAATTTTTTGCGCCAAAAGTTTTCTGCTTTGAAATTTCTTTCCATCCACATATCTTCAGTATGCCATAGCCAATGTAAAAAGGTATTATTTTTAAGTTGAAAAATATAGTGGGCTTTTGCTTTTTCTATATTGTCTCGTTTCATTTCTATCAGTATTCGGAAAGGCCTTATTCCATATTTAGCTTTCAAAGTTTTCTCGTAATGTAAATCTGCCATTACTATGAGCGCTCTTAGTCTAGATGCCCATTGTTTCTTTCTAATGTGCTCAATTTTTTCTTTTCTCCTTTTCTCTCTCAGTTCTTGTATTCTTTTCATCTTTTCTTCTTTGTCCATTTCAGCTTTTGCCAGTTCCGCCTGAAAACATTTTATTAATTTACCTTTAATAGTAGATATGAGTATGGAAATAACACATAACAACAATATACGGATTCTAACGAAAATTACCTGTTGCTTCATTTTAATTCTCTCTTCTTCCATCTGTCGTCTTCGCTCGCGTATCATTGCATGCTTTTCTTCTCGTTCACGAGCCCTCTTTTCCATCCTTTGTAAAAACTGTGGTACTTTCAAACAGTGTAATATCAGCGAAGGTTCTGGAAATAAAAAAGATTCATGACAGAATCTAAAAGCATTTAGAAAACGGCATTGATTAATTACGTAGGTAGATGATTGAAGGTGTCTAACCTTCAATTTCAGGAATCTTTAACTCGTTAGTCAAGCACTTTATCTTTGGTTTAAGATGCCTGTCTATTTCATAATACGTTTTACGTACTTCTTCTCTCATATCATCCACAGACTGACGTGAAGCTTCTACGATCCTATTATACTTGAGTTCCTCAATTAAACGATTTTGTTCCTCTAATTTAGCTTTTTGCAAAGCTATAATATGCTTTTGTAATTTGTACCTAAAAATGTAATAACAAGGTCTGAACAAATATATTAAAAGACGAAAACTTAAATCCTATTAGCAAATCATGAAATAGCAAGTTAACTAATAAGCAAATTACCTAACTAAGTAGTAACTAGTATCTACTTTGTTAATTTGTAACTCACCTATGTTGATAAGTGTTATAGTCCCTTAACAAAATTTTCGATTTATTTTCAGCTTCAGCACCTTGATTTATTGCCATCTTTTTCTTTGCAATTTTTTCAAAGAAATTATTTAAAGTTTCCTGCCTCTGTTCGGAGACATACTTTTCCCTAATATTTTTAACGTAACTTTTCCACTTACTAATATATTTTTTCATTAAGTACGTTTCCTTGCTATCAATTTGTACTCTAATTGGGGTTATACTCAAAATGTTTTCCATTCCCTCAGAGCTTACGGATCTTTTATCATTAAAATCTACGTTTGAAAGTATTTCGCTTTTTGGAGAATTTACTTCATTACTTATTTCGACTTCTTTGTGGTGCTCTTCCACTTCATTCGGTTTGGAAGAAATAGCCATCATTATCAACAAGTTCTGCAATTCACTTACTGGCACGTCTAAATTTTTGTCTGAAATATTTATTTGTGAATCTTGTTTCATTGCTGGTGGTTCCGTATTTGTATCATGATCTAAATTATGTGGGCTACGAGATTTATTCTTGCATTCCACACGAAAAATGTCTTGATTGTTTTCATTTATATCTTTAGGTAAATCCAGCAAACCACTATTGCGGTTTTTTGGTTTTCGATAGCACTGTGTTTCTCGATATATCTTAATGTGTTTTAGAGGTTTTATCTTCGGATTAACTTTAAATTCATTGTCATTGCGTATTTCCAATTCGGTAAATTCTTCAGTAAGTTCATTTATACAAAAATTATCATCGGCTTGGTGTAAATTTAGACTTTTATCAAGTAAGGAGGGCTCATCGTTGGTAATAGTCGATTTTAATTTTAAAGGCTCAAGACTTTTTAATGACACTCTATTTTTCAAATCAATATTATTGAATTCGTTTCGCAATTTCACAATTTCTTTGTGAATAGCAAAGCTTTCTTTTGTTTTTATAGATTTCCTTAAATAAGTATACAATAAGTTATTTTTTATGATAACTCGACACGATATGCTTAATCAATAGAAAACTTATAATGGAAGCTAGCTAGTAGGTACAAGAAATTCACGTAAAAAATATTTCTCACACGATCTGTAGGTAGGTAAGTAATTACAACTAAAATGTATATTATTTATCTTTATATATAATAATGGATCGCAAAATATGTTGAGCGCTTAACTCAACATCGCCTGGACCTTTTTTGCTAATTTTTTTTTTTGTATTAATTATTGTCGGCAGAATGTTCTTATCAAAGAAAATATTAAAAAATTAGAGGGCAAGATTAGGAAATAGTGACACTTTAATAGCGAGATAATTAGTTGGACCCGTGCGAAGCAGGGGGCGGGCCGCTAGTTATAGAAAAAAATTGTCTAAAATAAGTAGTTACCTTGTCAAATTGGGGTTTTTAAGAATACCATGGCTGTGACTGTCTTTAGCCTGAAAAAAACATTTAGATACAGATAGGCATATCAGATTTTACACGTCGTGGTGGCCCTGAAAATGTGACTTAGGTACTCGAGTTATATGTTTTTGTAAGTTTATTTAGACCCAATAACAAACTGTGAACTTATGGCCATGTGAAAAGGAGAGATGAAAAGCATGTTACAAAAAAAGCCATGAGTATAAATGTGGATGGATGGAGAGGGAGAGGGAGACCAAAGAAAATATGGATGGATTGTGTGAGAAGTGATATGGAAGACAGAGGAGTTAGCGATAGCGTGACGAGTGACAGGACAGAATGGAAGAAAAAACATATTGCGCCGACCCCAAATAAAACGGGACAAGAGCAGGAAGATGATGATGAACAGACTGTGAACTTAAAATTTATAAGTTGTGGGTAATTATAATTATAATAATCAAAACTCCACATGAGAAGAGACCTTTGTTCAGCGGTGGGCACATATAGTACACTGATGACAAATGTACTAAACCCTGGTTTAGCGTCAGGTGCCAAAAGGTAAAAGTGGTTTGTTGGTCGTAGGAAAATGACCGTAAGGTCTGGGATTCAATTCATATAAGAATCATGCAAATTGTGTTTCGATAATATTCATTATCATACTGTTTACTTACAAGAGTTCTTCTCATTTGCATCCGCAATATAAAATTTCGAGGCTTATAGTCCGGAGAAAGTTTATCCAAATCATTTTCATTGAATATATCCTTGTCTAGAATATTATCCATATTTTTCCTCAAATTTCATAATTATAAAGAAACAATAGTGGTATTACACTTTCCACTATTCATAACTCGATCCTGCGGTTGCTAAGAAAATATTGATAAAATAACGAAACGCATTTGAAGCTGCGTTCCATTACACTATATAATTTCCATCATGGGTTCGATTCATAGAATTATCAATGATTAGGTATCATGATACACAAAGAAACATTTCAGTCTCTGATTAATTAGCCTTAATAAACAAAAGCTTACTGATTCAGAAACACCAGTAGACCAGACGTTAATAGATTTTTAGGGGAACGTAAAACAATGGTTTTTTCAATTTTTATCAGTCATGTCACTGTCAGTGTCAGTAAAGTTAATGACATTTGTCATTTCTAACATGATGTCATAAGTTTACGAAAACGAATTAGAAAAATATTTTATTTAATAATATGAAATGTATTTACCTCTTTACAATGAGTCAGAAAATAAAACCTACAGCTACATCAAAATTCCATCGAAATTATGTTATTATGTGGTGTCGGTGCCATTATTTGCTTTTATAACTTGTGTTTTAATAACAATGTACAAGGACTTCGAAAACGCAAACAATACTCATTGCAAAGTTCCTAACGTCTTCCCATCAATATCAGCGTCTATTGGAAACTATGAACCACAAAGTACAATATGGAAAACAGCCATTTATGTGCATGCACCTATTAGATTCTACATATTGTATTTACGATGGAAATATTACAGAAGTGTTGTGCTAGAGAGTTGTGTTGTTATTGTTAAATTAGCAGTATTCTTAAATGTCATAGAAAATTTTTCCTTATTGGGACTCACGCATTGGACATCGTCCAAAAATTACCGTAAGTAACCTGTATGTGTAAAAATGATTGGTAAATAATGAAAGTGAATAAGAAATTAATGTTTCAATTGTTTACAGCTTATCATGAAGTTTGTTTCAAAACATTCATTGGGACCTCAGTATTCTATATGCTGTTCACATGCCTAATGCTTTCAAAATTACGAAGGAGGCCAAATATAACATACCGAGAAAAGCATTCTGTGAAATTAAAATGGAGAGCTTTTATTGTGAATGTTACTTCATTCGCATCTGCAGCTTATTTTTTCTTGAGACATAATAGGCTATGTGAACCTTATGGTAAGTAAATCAATTTTACCTACATTTTTTATAAGATTTTTTGAAATTAGACTTATGAGACATTACCAGTCTTAATAAAATTGTGTTATATTTCCAATTGCATTCATAATTAAATGAATGAACTAATCACAAATATCTAATTACTATCCTAGTATTTCTTTTTTTTCAGTTTATTCCATGTTTGGTCTATCGGAGTACATTGTGGTGTTCAGCAATATTATGTTCCATTTTACAACCACCTATGATCTACAAATTAATTTTATTTGCATAACTAATCAGGGGATTGTTGCTGAATAGAAAATCATGCCTTCCAAGTTGTGTATATTTTTTTCATAAAAGACTTAAAGACTAAGCAAATTGCTTAGTCTTATAGCAAGCAAAGTGCTTAATCTTATATTAGTTTATAAAATTTACATATTGTTGCCTTATTTAAATAATATATTATTGATAATTATTAATCTGTAGCTAAACTAGTTAGTGACTGTAACATAGCACCCAAAGTTACACATGTATTTATTTATAAATTATTTTTTTAGTATTATTTATTTATTGGTTTGACTTGCATAAATATTTTAACTTTAGTACATACTTTATATATTTAAAAGTAATATAAAAAAAATATAAATACATTTCAGATCACAGAACAACAATATTTTTTTAATAATAAATCTTCCTACATATATATAAACCTAATCTGAAAACAATAAATCTTAATAACACAATATTACATGTTATGCCAAAGATTGGTGATTTGTTGATAAAGTTTTGATGGTTTAATTTTGAAAACATATTTTGTTCCAATGCAGTATTTTACAGTAAAAAAGGTGACAAGGAAAGTAGTGAAAAACATTTTAAAACCTAATCAAGGTGAAAATGGGAATCACTATTTAATGTGAACAGTCTCTGGCAGAAGCTACGAAGTTTTAGACTACCTACCTTGATTGCATGAAATGCCATTTCAAATTGATGCATTTGAAATGACAATAATGAGACAGAAGGCATACCTATCATGGAGAACACACGAAAATACATCAGTTGTTTTTTTGTATGTGCTTGCTAAGTAATGTATTAATTAAATGTATGTAGTCTTGTACGACAATAACTTCTTGTTTATCTTTATTAAAGGACACACTATGGTTTATTTAAGTATACGATATTTTTATCACTAACCTGATGGACTTTACTATACCGTTCAAAAGATATAGTAAAGTACAAAGATTTTTTAATCGTTGCTATAGTAAGACATACAATTTATTCAAAATGACGAATTTTATTTTACGTGTGTGTTGAGTTAATCATTTTACTTGCGGATCGAGGTGACGTTACGCTGCCGAGTGCCGAAGTGCCGACTCGCGACGCGCACGCAGGTCCTGGCCTGGATAAGAGTCCTATCGTGACTTGAAATTAGTTGAATTATTCTCAGTCATTATTTTCAACAAATTGGTACTTAGCAACCAGATTATCCAATATCAGTATAATTATTGACTATATGAGGTAATTGTTCTATAAAATAAGTGATGATTGAATAATGATTTAGGTACGTAAAAAGTGTGCAACAATAAAACATTACAACAACACACAAGCAAGACTAATAAGAAATCAACGTGACCTAGGTATTATATTTACTACTTTATGCAAATACAAATTTGGGATTTCCATTAGCGTAAATTTCCTTCCCTAACGTTGAGGATAACACTGCTTTCATGTGTATTACTTTTATAACGATGTTTACGAATTATCTTATGTTCGTTACCAGTGTTTATATATCTCAGATTTTAAACTTAAATTCACTCTCCATCTTATCAGCAATCATTTTCGCGATAGCAAGTGACGAAGTGGCCCCAGGTGAAGGTGCATTTCTGCAATGTAAAACTCTACTTCCTATGGCACCAGAACCAGGTTGAGAATCAAATACAAAATCTTCTATTAGACTTCCTGAAAAAATAAGGAACCAATGAACATCATGTAACAATATACATTTTTGGGACCTAGTATTTAGTTAGGTATGTTTTTAGATATCAACAGCAGTCTTGCATTAAAACATGATATAATTATTCAGTAATAAATGCTTACCATCTTTAGCCATTGCCTGTGCTCTGACACCAGAAGGACCTCTCTCTACATCAGCAGATGTAATTTCTTGAATGTATTTTTGAACCTGCTTCACTTGCAATGAAGTAAAAATTGATCTTGTCATTTCTTTAATACCAAAACCTGCATATTTCATTGCTAATTTCCGAAAACCAGAAAATGCTAAAATGTCTTTCAAGTCTTTCAGATTCACATCACTATATCTGTTAATAAAGAATAATAAAAATATTAGTAGGTAATACACAAAATATATTTATTCTATTCTTTTTATCTAAATTTATTCTATATTTCTTTGTAAATATAAGGTAACCTTTAGATGCCCTTTGATAAAAAGTGTGGAATTATTATTGCATAACATTTTATCTGAACATGTTTTCTATACATTTCTACATATGCAACTCTGAATTGGTGATTAAATAAATTTCAACAGTAATTATTTTATTTATTACTCAAATTAGTGTTTATAAGATAAGCTATTTAAATAATACTACTTACTTATATCCTTCTTTACAATAGGCTAATATTGCATTTGGTCCCAAAATTACACGTCCATCTATTCTTGGAGTTATATGGACACCAAGAAATGGAAATCTTGGGTCAGGTACAGGATAAATATTAGCTTTAGCTAAGTTACTTTTACTGGGGACTAGATACAAATATTCACCTCTAAAAGGTATAATTTTAGGCTCTTCAGGACATCCAGTTAAAACAGCTACTGTATCTGAATGTAGGCCACAACATGTGAGGACATACTTTGCAGAAATATTATTAGATTTGTTATCCGATATAATAACAGGGTATTCTGCATTTTCAGATTCTGAGAACCTCTTTGCTTCAAAGTTTAAATAAGTTGTGCCACCACATTTTTTGAAGTCCTCTACATAAGATTCTGTGACCTGAGCCCAACTCACAATTCCAGTGTTGGGAGACCATATAGCTTGCAGCCCTTTACAGAGGGGTTCGATTTCTCTTATTTCATTTCCTTCTAGTAGCTGCAAATCTTTTACACCATTTTGTATTCCTCGATCATACAGATCTAATAATGTGGGCACCTCATGCCTTTCAGTAGCCACTATCAATTTTCCACACTTTAAATATTGTATATTTTTCTCATCACAGTATTTATAAGCTAATTCCATGCCTTGTACACATAATTTAGCTTTCAATGATCCAGGTTTGTAATAAATACCAGCATGAATCACACCACTGTTATTACCACTTTGATGGTAGGCAAAACGATTTTCCTTCTCGACTAATGCAATATTTAATGATGGATGCCTTAGACTGAGCTCCCTTGCTGACGCAGCACCAACAATACCGCCACCAATTACAACGATATCAAACTTTTTAGAAGTGTCATCTGAGTACCTGAAAAAACATTACATGAAATAGGTATTCAATAAACATTACATCTCATAAATAAAAATTTAAGTGGGTGAATTATGTAAACAAGACTTACCAGCGATGTGCTGCAGCATTATATGTAAGGGGTAAAAAATTCCGGCCAACACTACTAGTCATAGATACACCGGATTTCATTACTATCATCTTGCAAACATTAAGATAATTATTATACATATTAACTTGGTGTTTACTTATTTTTAACTAAACTGTTATCAAATAAACGAAATTGATACCGTACTAAGCAAAGCTACCTAAAATAAGAAATATGGAAATATATTTAACGCTAGGTATTCAAACCATCCAAACAAGTTTAAACTTTCGCACAATATTTATTAAAAAACTTAACTAGAAATTGTAGAAAATAAAATTACATATATCTAAATAATCAAAACAAATAAGACTATAGGTAAGTCACCAACTATACCCCGAATAAGATAGGTACTAATTTATCATAATCTACAAACGTAAATACAAAAACAGTTTGACCGTCACTGATAAGGCACAATCACCATTGACATATGTACTATCTCAATGACAATCACACTCAAGTGACAAATGTGACAGACAGAACATAACAAACCTAATACCACACAAAAGTAGTTCCTCTAGACATTTTTTTTTTGATGGCAAACTAATTTTGATTTGAATAGTTCTTAATTTTATTTATTTTATTAATAACTAGCTTTTGCCCGCGACTTCGTAACTTATTTATTTTTTTCTAAATAAGCAGCACATATCCTTCCTCAGCGTTCAGTGGTTTTAATGTTATAGTCAGATTAACTTTCGTATTTTAGTAGGGAACTATAATATTTAAATCCTCAATAATATGGTTATATGTGTATATAGTTGGATAAACGACATCGGCTTCTTTTCTTAAATCTACAAATGGGGTTTTCTTGTGAGGGAAAAATTATCAAATGAGTTCTCCCGGCCAGGGTAGGGCGGGCGGAAGTGTCAGACTCTTACTGAATAAAAACCTCCCCGTTCCTTCTCCTGCTCTGGTCCAAGGCCACGGTGCCTCATTGCACTTACCCCGCAACCTCGGCTGAAGTGCTGAACATTTGCCCTATAGGGCCCCGTCTGTGGTGGTATATTGGCTCTTTGAGGCGCGCGCGGAACACAACGCGCCTTACGCTCGGGTCTGGTTCTGGTCGGGCGTCCGGAAACCCGCGCTTACGGTGGCCGAAAATCGTCTATCGATCCCCGACCCTATCGACGACCGAAGTGTCGCCTACTGTGGCAGCTGGGCCGAAAGAAGGACGATAGCTCCCTCACGCGGTCCGTCCGCTTCCTTCTTTACGAGCATAACTGCTTCACAAAAAGAGGAGACGGCTTCCCAGTTCCTCTCGCTACGCACCATGGCCTCAACTAAGGCCAGGAGCGAGAAAACGCTGCTGCCGATCACTTCCCTATCGACACGGCGGTGCTCAACTTAAGCATATTCCACCATGTGCTCAGGATGATCCTCACAATGACGACAATAGGACGTTTCCTCCCGCCGCGGATCCGAAACAAACCTACCTACCTACCGAAGCTGTCGTGCTGTGCCCAGTAAGCACCTGCGTTAGGCCCAATGTGAGGACGCCGTGGATCTACAAATGATTAGAGTTCTGCACTGTATGTAATAATAATCTCAAATAGAAACACGTTATTAGGATCAGCGGAGTACACTCTACCAAGAACATGTTTTTTGAAAATACCTGACTCGCCATATACAGTATACACATCTGCAAAGGCGTCTACGGTTAAAGACACCTCATTGCTTATATCGTAGGTTTAATACAACGGATCTTTTTTCTACCTACAAAAGGGATTTTGCAAAATTATCAGTTTGGTGTTGAGCGTAGCAACCGTTACACAAAAATAATCCTTATAGCATGATTCACGAGTTCACGTGCGAGGGCGCGATGGTTTATTGAATAGATAATAATGTAACCTCTTTTTACTAAGGAGAAGGTAGGATATTATAAACGTAAGAGTAAACAAATAAAATCAAAATAATTCAAACCACCTACTAAGCTAACACGTGAATAAAATGGAGTAACTTCTCCCTTGTTCTCAACATTTCCCTTTACTGCTCTGCTCCTACGTGATAAAACGTATCCAATAACATGCCCAGGAATATGAAGAATAATTATTGTAACAAGTTTCGTTAAAATCCGTCGAGTAGTTTTTGTTTTGTTTGTATAAGGAACATACAGACAGACAAAAATTTTACAGATTACATTTTTGGCATCAGTATCGATCACTGATCACCGCCTGATAGTTACCTATTTTGAAAATATATTAAAATAATGTACAGAATATTGACCACTCAACAGATTTATAATAAGTTTAGGTAGACGATGATGGATGTGTATCTCCGATGACCGTTTAATGCACAGACAAATTTGGGTATATTTCTATTCTATAATATTCTGAGGAATTCTGGGCGTTTAAATACAAAAAAGCAATTATTATGACAATTTTTAAAACTGTATATGAGACGTGGTTGCCATTTTAGAAAATAATAAATCAATTTCAATTGACATTCAAGTCAGTTAGTGTCAATGTGTTTTGATTGAAACAAACTTGTTTTGAATGAGACTTATTTGAGACTATGAATAAAGTATTATTGTATTTATTTATTATTTAATTACCAAGTTATGCCTTCATATTACACCATGTCTAAAGATCAGTTCTGTTTTAGTTGGGTGTCACACAAAAATCAAATTTCTCAAGGATTTGCACGTTTACAACAAGTAATATAAAAAAAACTTCATGTTTACATTTCTATGAGAATATCTTAGCATAAATAACTTTGTGTGTGTTGCAGGAAGGCGAATTCGTTGATATGACCCTAGCAGCTGACGGTCATTTAGTAAAAGTTCATCAAAATATAATAGCACTTGCCAGCCCGTATATAAAGGCCATGATACAATCGGCTGCATGTCAGCATCCAGTGGTGTTTCTAAATGTAAATAAAAAAAACATATATTTTTGTTGCTCAGTGGGTAGCCCAAGGGGTGGTACTTAAAATGAATTCCGTTTTTTTTTCAGAACATCAATTATAATACACTCTCTTCTATATTAGAATATATTTATACAGGTGAAGTGAACATACCAGCAGATGTTACACCAGATTTTTTGCAAGCCTGTAAAGCGTTATGTATAAAAGGTGTTGAAAAGATAGATTTACCAAAGGTACATAATTATTCTAAGTCATTATTATCAAATTGTATCAAACAAGTAAATTAATAGCTTTATGTATGAACTAGCTACTCTCGCGCGGTTTCACCCGCTGCTACAGATCGTAGCGTGATGTTTTATAGCCTATAGCACTCAGGAATATTGTAGCTATCTATCGGTGAAAGAATTTTGGCAATCCGACCAGTGGTTCCAAAGATTATCCCCTACATACAAACTTACAAATTTTACCTCTTTATAATATTAGCATAGATAAGTGTGAATTTACATACCTTAATTGATAGTAAATCCCAAAGAATATATTTATTTTATTGTTTACATTTTAGAAACAACCATTCAATACACTGCCATCAGTACCCCAACCATCAGGTCCGCCGCTACCAAATACACTGCTGTCTGATCCACCAAGCCAGCCCACATGTTTGGGTTTAGATTTACCACCATTACCACATTCTTTGGGTATTGGCTCACCACCAGAAAGGTGAACAATCACATATTTTTTATCTTTTTATGAAGGTTTTAATTTCAAATAGCTGATGAGTTTTTCATTTAACAACAATAGGTACACCTTTTATTATTCTGTATTGGGTAGTTAAAACATTGCTTATTTTTAACATTTTCAGGCCTACCATAGCACAGGACAATAATTTTGCAGCTCATATAACAATTAATAGTGAAAACTACAATGTTGAAGTCATACCATCAGAAAGTAATATCATGCAACAAGAAAAACAGTCATTTTACTCTCTTGGTGAAATTGAACTGATGAATTTTCCCACCTTGACAAGTTCTACTGCTGTAGAAAATCAAAATATTGAACAAATCGCTCCACTCCCTGAAATGAATATTGTTGAAACTGATTTTGAATATGTTGATGCTTCAGTGCCTGTTGTAGAAGAGAACCAGACTGAATTCTTAAATAGTAATAATTTAAATATTGTTTCAAATGAACCTGTTACAGTTTTTAATTTGAACTCAAGTAATCTACCACCTGCTACAAAAGTTACTCATGGAGCTATTCTGGGCAAAAATGGTAATGTCTACAAAAATTGTTTAGAACTAATATGATTCTTGTATAGATAAATTTTAAATTTATTTGAATTAATCTTTAACCCTTTCAGCTCATAGACTACACTACTCTATTTCTAAACGTGGGGCATTGCAATTAATATTAAACCAGTACATTTATCACTGTCATCATCATTCTGATGAAGGTCTTAAACGCCGTTGGCGTTGCGTAGACTACCGGAAACTGCATTGTCCAGCATATATAGATACATGCGACAATAAAATGGTCAACAGGTGAATTTAAATTATTATTAGATGTGATGTTAAAGCAGTTTGGCCCCTTTTTAACTCAATATTATTATTTTCAGATCTGAAAACCACAACCATGGTGAACATAAAACTGAAATTAAGAGAAAGTTAAAATCTAAAATTGTATTTACTTCAATAACTCAAGCTACAAATAAAATTATTGACAAAGAAAAACCTAAAAAGATTAAAAGAACTTCCAATACTTCTCTCAGAACTAATCAAATTATCAAAGTTAGTCTTCATCATGAATCTAAAAGTTAACTTTTTCTGTAAAATAAAGTTCTGGTAAATTCTGGCTACTTATTTTAATCCGTCCATGATAAACATTAGAATATCATCGCCCCAATTATCCCCAAACGTGAATAAATAGCACTCAGTTTATTGCAAGGCTTATGTGCCTAAACCGGACATCATTCCAGAGTTGGTAATACGGCTTTTGTATGATTAGTTTTAATAATAATATTTGCCCAACCTGAGATACAAACCCAAGCAAGTTGCCGTAGGCCTACTGTTATTTTGGAGGTTAGACAGAAAGGTCTAGAGTAAAATATGAGTAACAATTAAGGACCCTGATGGGTAAAGCAGCTTAGTATAATAACGTAGTTCGACGTAGTGTCAGCAATCCTTTTCAGCCAGAGAGTAAAGTATTTTCAGCTTTCAGTCAGACTTTCAATTGAAGTGAAACTTCAAAAAGATCCTGGACGTATGGGAGGTTGTCACATTTTTATCTGTCATCATTGTCAATTGTCAATGTTTTGGTGTAAACTAAAAACTATTTATGAGTAAAGTAGCATAAAATAATACTTTATTGTTTATTTGTACGTTTATTGGCACACTTTAATTTGTTTTAACATTACTGCTACTATATCAGTAACTTAATTGAGATGGTACAGTCACAGTTTTCGTTGTCATGGGATTCTTATAAATCCAGTATTTGTAATGGATTTAGTGCTTTGCAGCAGGTAAATGACAGGGTTTGCTTGTTTTACTAGATTAATGCATGTTTTACTATTATTAGTAATGCTTGTTTTACTAGATTTCTTCTTGTTTTTTGTTATTTGGCCTCTTCATTTGGTTTTTTCGGGTTTGATAACCCAATTCAAATACCAACAGTTAGATTCCAGTCTGTGCTCTGTACTGCTGTGTGAAGAATCGTAATCATTACCTTCTAGTAAATAAAAAAAATGATCAAAATAGTATCAATAATATAGTTAGATTAATAGTTGTCATTGACTATATAGGTAAATTGAGTCTGTTACAATTTGGAAATTGTTAGCGTCAAAGACATTCAGGATGCTCAAATGTATAGAACCAATTAAAACACCATAATAACGGTACAAACCAAGTTGGAAAGGATCACTTAATATAAGTACAGTGAAAATTAAATGGTATAACTATTATTTACCATAATTTGTAAATATTTTATGCTTGAGAGTCACACACAACATTTACAATAATAAAAACAAAAATATTTTGCAAATTGATACACATAAAATAGAAAAGAATAAATCATATGAGTATGTTATCATCCTCAACATGAAAAGGACTAGTGGTTGGCTAATACTTCACCATGTTCACAACATACAACATATAAGTTGTTACATGTAACATACTTAATGCTCAAAATTTAAAAAAATAAAGTTCATTTTTAATTGTTCCAAATTATTGAACACTTACAATGCTCCATTTCTTTTAAACAGTTAAACTGTACCAATAATTAAGACACTTTAATTCATCAAACCCTAAAAGAACACTGTCATTTGTGAATTTATTGTTCTTCTATTGTGTTTTGCATTAACAAAATTGTATGGTTAAGTGAACATATCTTAATTTGGTAACCTTGTGCTTGTCCTTATAAATTTTACAACGACTGTACAGTGTACACTATGGTAATTTTATTTTATTTATACATTTAATCGAGTTTATACTCATTCTTTCACTCATACATTTAAGATGGAGTTTCTTGCTCGTTCTTCTCTATTCGAAACTACAATTTGGAACGAGCACCTAGCTTCACTGACGAACAGACTGACAGACTACTTACTATTATATTTTGACGTTTCAAAAGTACCTATTTATGGTTTAGTTGGAATAAATGATTTTGATTTGATTTGATTTGAATCAAGAATAACAATAAAATCCTGGTTGTTTCAGAATGGTGAGTTTGTAGACATGACAATAGCTGCAGATGGACATCTAGTGAAGGTCCATCAGGTTCTGGTAGCATTAGCTAGCCCTTATCTAAAGGACCTTATTTCTTCAGCACCTTGTCAACATCCTGTTATATTCCTTAATGTAAGTGTATGAGTCTGTGTACATGTGTTGTTTGATTGTTAATATAAACTTATTTTAATGTCTGTTTTTTCTACATATAAAACTTTTTATCTTTTTTTTTCAGAATGTTTCACATCCCACTTTGTGCTTGCTGCTTGAGTATATCTACACAGGTGAAGCTGTGGTACCAGCAGATTGCTTGAACATGTTTGTTGAAGCAGCCAAGTCTCTACACATTAGAGGATTAGAAAATATTGTAAGTACGATTTTATTACAAAAATGTGTCATTACATTCTACTACATACATATCGCCAAATGCCACTACATCGTCCAACCCACATTTACACTCTATCAATAAATTTGGCTTTTCACATCTTAAGGTTCTCATATTTCATACTTCTTCTGCCAAATCTATGATTCAGATACAATACATTAACGTTGGCGCCAAAACTCCCCGCAATAGAACAGTCCAGCTCTCGAAAATATATACACGCGCATCATTCTCCTACTACACAGAGTAAAATAGTATTAAAACCTTTGTATTAGTTTTTTCTAATAAGTAGGTACATCATTAATACATAGGTATAGGTATTTCGCGGGGAGTAGCGCAATAAGGTACCGCGACCTCGGTTTAAATCAGAAGAAGGAACAGGGATGTTTTTAGTCAGTAAGTCTGACACTCCCTCTCGCCTCAACCTGGGTGGGAGAAGTCATTGGTTGATTTACCCTCACAAAAAAATAGGTATTTCCATCAGTCAAAAGTAAAATGTTTCAACCTTTTCCTTAAATCAAACTAGTTTAAAATACCCCTTTGTCGTACATATTAATGAAAAAAAAAACTATTTTCGACATACAATCCATGTTATTAAAGACATCAATAATCAAGATTCTTGATACACACATGTATTTACTAAGTAAGTATACAATTGCTTACAGAGTTCATCGCAAAACCAAACAAGTATGCCACAACTAGATGACAGCGACATGTGTCACGTCAGCGGAATCAAGAGATTAGGTGGGCCACCAACAGAGAGTACAGCACAGGTAGGATTTATTTACCAGCCGTCTCAGTAGGCGACACTGGGCGTCGGGGATCGATTGATGATCCCCAGCCAGAACGCCGCCGCAGCCGCTCGCGCTGAGGCTTATTGATATTTAGTATAATAGATAAAACCGCGGCACTCACCATTACGTTTTCACTATTGCACATATGATTTGTCGCTCCAGAGTCAATGTACTACACATCACTATTTACATTCGCTGAGCCGCTAGAAGGGCCTTATTGTTGTTCCTCGCTGACTTCTTCACTAGACACAATTTATATCATCTTGTTTAAGATTTCTTTTAGGTACAACATGAAATAGATAATACCTATTATATTTTACAATATTGAAAAACATATAAATATATAATTTTGCAGGTTGCTTTGCCATCATCAGCAAGAAAGGTTTCTCTGAAACAAGACTCCACGTAAGTACCTAACTGATTCTTAAATTAAAAAATATCTTTAGCAGTATACAAATCGAATTTAGGTGCTTCAACCGTATATTACAAGTAGTACTAGACATTTTAACCAATATCAAGAACTTTGCGTATTTATTTTTTATTTTACATAATATAATACCTGTAGAACACCCTGTAAAATACGAGTATATATTTGCCTCAGTAAGGTTTCTCGGCCTGAACACGTCGTAATCGACTGAGCAAAAGTTCAAAAAAGTAAAAAATAGAAAGAAGTGCGAGTTACTATCGTAGTTTTCTAACTTGTAAAAATCATAATCGTTCATCTGTACTAACATTATGAGGTAAAATTTGTAAGTTTGTAGGCAGGGGATAATCTTTGGAACCGCTCTGGTTGGATTACCAAAATTCTTTCACTGATAGGTAGTTACAATTTTCCTGAGTGCTATAGGCTATAAAACATCACATTGTCTAAAAAAGGAATATTAATAGTATCGATAGATAAATGAAAGTGTAATATTTTGCAGAATTTAGGTATATGGTTTCTAAATTGAAATAATATTTTGTTTTCACTGAGGAAAGTATCCAATTTTGCATATCTTTGGATTGAAAACAGGGTAAATAAAGACACATCTCTACAAGCGGCTATGGCGATGCCAGTGTCCAGTCAGCAAGAGCAACACGGCCACCACGACTACAGCGACCTAATGGATGACTCAGAGGTACACGATGATGACAACGATACGGACTTCCAAATGCAAGAACCTAAACAAAACGTTCAAGAAAAGAAAGATGCCCGTAAGACTATGCTTTATTTTATTCACAACAACAGACGAGTTACCTGTGGCATTCTCTCCCAATCAGACTTTAGACTGATGCAGAGATGCGAAAATCCTTCTAAATTTGACCTATCTTGTACCTAAGTTTCAGCCAGTATTCGCAATTTGAAAGACAGTTGTTTGTCAGCAAATGCTTTCGATCATACTGAACAGATTTTGCACAGAAATAGGTGATAATTATCTAGAATAAATTGATATTTAGAACTAATAAACTATGTTTGTTTTGGTTCAATGGTGAAAATTTTGGCAAATCGCGATTTTAAGATATATTTTGTTAATCTTCTAACTTATAAACAATAACTTTATCTTTTCTTTGTACAGCATCAGGTTCCAATCTACAGTTCACGGTATCAATACGAGGATCATTGCAAGTGATATTAAACCGATACATATACAACCTGCACTCTGCTCCCTCGCGGTCAGGACTGCGACGATGGCGGTGTGTCGATTACAGAAACAACAAGTGCACAGCATCCTTGGTCACAAAAGGAAATGTTGTGCTCAATAGGTAAGTCAAAAGTTGATATTTTTTGTATGGTTCAGTACGAATGGGCCGCCTCAACCGTAGTGAGGTCCAATTCCCACGTCTCCTTGCCCCGATCCCCTAAACACCAGTTATCAAAAAAGCCAGCCATTGAGGCATTTTTCATTCCTCTGGTGTAAGGCGTCCATGACCGGCGCTGATAACTTACCATCTGGTGTGACATATGCTTATTGGCTGCCCTAAAAAAATGAAAAAGCCAGCATTCACTGAATTGGAAAATTTTCGTTTTTTTGTAGTTTCATAGTTACGTTGTTGCCCAAAGAATTTTTCAAATTGTAAGCGCATCTGCTTGCAAAACCAATCCCACTTACTAAACGCGGGGATCACAAATCCCACTCTATAATAAGACGAATTTATACAGCAGTCCATTCTAGTGGTGATGACAATGATAAAAATAAGCGCCTTTGTTCTATGGAAGATTTATATCACTTTCTTGTTTTTATTATAATTCTTAAAATATGATTCTTCTCCATTTTAAGTAGTTTGTTTCTGCTGCTTATATTATGAATATCATTGTTGTATTAATATTTCCTCATGGTCTTATTTGTGACCACACAAGCAATGAGACTAAAAACATTTATGTGCTTAAGTTTGCCTTGTATTTGCTTACGACACACCTAAAAATACTAGCTTCCGTGTCACCATGTTATATTTTGTCAACAGAGCCAACCTACACAATCATCCGTTCCACGACAAGAAAATACTTTCTAAGATTGAAAAGAAAGCAGTTTACTCCACCATAGATCAAGTAGAAGGTTATAAGGAAGATACAAATGAACACAGTGACATATCTACACTAAAAGAATTCCCCGATGACACCGACCCTAAAAACAATCACTCGAATGTCAAAGGTTGATTAATTGATGGTAGTTATGCAAATATAATGTTAAGCAACGTTATTTTATGGGTTTTATTTATACTAACTAGTGTTGTGCATTGTCTAATAGTGTTGTGCATTGCGTACAAACTCAATAGTTTTGTTAGTACAAAACTATTGAGTTTGTAGGCAATATCTAACTATTAGGTTCTTTTTCAGGCCGGTAATTTTTGCAACGACTGCAGTCGTCCTAAATGGGGCGAGGGAAAGTGTCAGTTTCATTTTTTTATTATAACTTTCGTGAAACACTCTAAATTAATCATTATGTTTTCGGCTTACTCACGTAATAATTTGACGTGATACTCGACTAGTTTCAAGCCACCCTAGAGGCCCATATTCATGAGCAGCATTCCGCGACACGCGACTCGGCGACTGTCGCGCTGCTACTGGCTACTGTCAGTTTCTTACTAACTATAACTTATACTGTTTCTTCCCCTGCTCTCTCTAAGCTGGGCCACGGTTCATTATTTGGCTTACTTAGTTGGGTACTTAATTAGGTACTACGCTTAAATATACTTCCTAATTCCTCATTCTTATTTACTTTTTATTTTTACGATACTTTACCTCCGATATTATACAGATTAAGCATGTGCCTAATGTGGGATTTTAAAATAAGAAGAATAGGCATGAAATCTAGACTGACAATGTTGTATGTACTTATATTTGTAAGTATCGTTTATTTTTGTAAACAAACTCCAACAGACATGGTTAATTTACAAAATGAATTCCGTCGACTAAATATAAATTTGGTGACTGAACAGTAATTTAATACAAGTACACATCTAATTATGTTAATTCTCAACCTATTGTAAAATAACAATGATAAGAACAGAATATTTTTGATTTCCATTAACCAACCTTCATAAAAGTGGACATTGTATTTAATGTGCGTTAATGAACACATTTTACTACTTTAGTCACTTTTTGGTGTGAATACAATGAAGTGGTATCTACAAGTTGTAAGTTTTTCCTGATAAGTTTATAGTTAAATCAGTTATAACTTTAACACTAGTACGCCAAGATTTCAATCTTCCTACCCGATTAAACGTAAGTAATACTTTCAATATTTATTTTGAATTAGGTACACTTTTGCTGCCCCAAATTTAAAATTTATGCATTTTTTGACGCACCGAACCCGGTTAGTCATCGAATCCTCTCTCTCACTAAATAAAAACAATGCCTACTCCCGCCCAGATACTGGATGTGCCTCCGTTAGCCAGTCATTCACAGGCCATTCCTATGAAGTTCTCTTAGGTATCCGCGAAAATAATAAATGCAACAGTCAACTTATAGAAGAGGTGCAGTCAACTAAGTACCTACCTTTTTTTGTCAGGGGAAAATCATCAAATGACTTCTTCCGCTCAGGGTAAGGCGAGAGAGAGTGTAAGACTCGTAAGGCCGCAGTGCCTCATTGCGCTTACCCCGCAATCCCGGCTCAACATCAGCCCTGTAGGGCCCCGTCTGTGGTGCTCTATTGGCTCCTTGAGGCGTGCGCGGAACGCTACGCTCCTTACGCTCGGGTCGGGTTCTGTACGGGCGGCGAGGTTTTACTTACCCTTACTCGCCGTCCGCAGACTAGCGATTAAGGTGGCCGGAGATCGTCTCTCGATCCCCGACGCTCGGAGTGTCGCCTACTGCGGCGGATGGGGCGTGAGGAGGAGAATAGCCCTCTACGCGCTCCGCCGCCTTTTTTTCGAGTATAACTGCTTCACAGAAAGAGGATATGGCTTCCCAGTTCGTCTCTGGCGGCACCATGGCTTCGACACAGGCCGGGCGAGAAAGGTCCTCGCCGCCAATCACTTCCCTGAGGACACGGCGGTGCTCAGCCTAAGCAGGGCACACTGCCACCGTAAGCTCCACCGTGTCCTCTGAGAACTAAGTAGGTACCTACTTACTTAATAGTGTCGATACGAGTATCCGCATGAAGCAATTTGCTTTTTTTTGCTTCATGACTATTCAGCACTCGGCTCACATCATCATCAGCCTATAAGTGCCCACTGCTGAGAAAAGGCATCTTCTTATACGGAGAAGGTTAGAGCATTAATCACCACGCTTGCTCAATGCGGGTTGGCGATTTCAAACTTATAATTAGAAATTATAAGTCCAGGTATCCTCACGATGTTTACCTTCACCGTATGTCAGTGGTGTCTAAATAATCATAGAAAGTACATATAACTCGGAAAAAGTTACATTGGTACTTGCCAGGTTTCGAACCCTCATGCACGAGAAGCGGGCTCCTTAACCTCCGGGCCACCACGACCACTCGGCTCACAATTTCCCTAAATGTCAAAGAGGTAAAACTAATTATTTTTTACTTGATATAAACTAGTGCTTGACTGCGATCCCACCTGATGGTAAGCAGTGATGCAATCATTGATGGTACGGCGCACTAGTTTATTAAGAGCCTATTCACTCTAGCCTTGAAGACATCAAAATTATCTATATTTGGACGGAAAGACTGCAGCCGGCAAATTTTATAAAAAAGTTAAAAATAAACTGAAATACAGTTTTTTTTATTTCTTTTGTATTTTTTGCGTCGAATTCGTTATTTGTAATCATTTGCGTTTTTTATTAAAATATAGTACCTGTACTCAGAATACAGTACCAGTACTAATATTAAAGTAGCGGTCTGTCTCGGCTACACGGTTCAACTAGCTTATGTTTTGTGGACAACCGCCATGGCATCGAAAGGGTGACTGTTGACTATTTCCCGATTTTCGTCTCTTACTTTTCTTATTTTCTCTTTCATGGGAACCTTCTTCTGACTTCTAATAACTTCTCTCCCAAGGCGAAGAAAAAGAAGAAGTCGTTTGATGAAATTGTCCTCAATTGGTGGAATGTGGGTATTGGTGTACAGCGGCTATAAACATCACCAACCGGTATAATAATAGTAGGTAGGTACATGTTATTTCTACCTGCAATTATGTCGTCAAAAACTCTTGTTTGACAAAGATAAGTAGATACTTAGGTACTACCTAGGTATCTTGTTAATATAATATACAGATAAACTGACTTTTTATTATATTTCTTTTTCTTAATAAAATTATACTAGATACCGACTACTTACAAAGAACCGGGGTGTTGACTAAAGTGTTCTCTGTTCGATTGATTAAACTAGAGAACACCCATAAAAACTCCAACTGTATATCGACAATTATTGTATTTTAAACAACATTCCTGATCGGGATATTTACCTTGCACAGAACCCGATTAATTTGCGGGATTTGCCAATCCAGGTATAATGTGGAGCAAGACTTTGCTGGTCGATATGTAAAATGAGAGACAAAGAACAATAACTGCCGAAGTTCTAGGTTGATCCTTATCTAAGAAACTCTTTCACTAGAACTGTCAAAAAGTTTTCAGATTGATATCGGAATAGAGAACCAAATCTTCCAACGCTCATCAAATCAAATAACCTAAGCAATTAAGTGGCGCTAAATTCTACAACTTATTGCCTAGCAGCGTGTTCCCGCTATTGAATTCTTTGACATATAGGCAATAGTTTATGTAGTAAAAAATAGCAATACCATGCATTTTAACTGATAGCATGTGGTATATTTATATAGAGTTTGTGAACTCGTTCCGTGCTAATTCACGTTGAGTCTACGGTTTGCCCGCCTACTTCTTCGATTAATAGCTAAAAAGCTACTAACTACTACGCGCTACGACATTCGCTCCTCGTACTACGGATACTACGCCCTACGAACTACGCGGTACGACTTTACACGCTACGAGCTACGGCTATAGTATACCGATTCAAATGAGTTATAAATTTAGGGCTTGTAGATTTTTTAAACGTTGTCTCTATTTTTTTCTCTTGTGTCGTGGTTGCGTTTACAAACATACAAATTTACATACACACCCAGAACCGGAACAACGATTTGTTAATTACACATTTATTATTTACTGAAACTCAGTAAAATGTGTGAAGCAGATTTAAAATTACACAAGTTTATCAGATTCAGATTTATTTATTTGCATAAACATGTGTACAAATTGATGTTACAAAATAATTTAAGGTTCAACATGTTTGACCATTGCTGGTGTGCAAATTAGGTTGAAAGTAAATACAATTAAAAAAAAAATACAAACATAACTCACAAACAATTAAAATTAATATTAAATTCAATAGTTTCGTCAGTATAATTGTGCAGTATAAAGTGAATAGAATATAATATTATGTCAGTAAGCTTAGAGCGATTTATCATTTAAAAATTCATTAACATTATAATAGGCTTTTTCTACCAGTATTTTCTTAAAAGTTTTCTTAAATTGATCTGTATTTAACGTTTTAATGCAGTTAGGAACATTATTATAGATTATTGGCGCTCTACATACTACGCTTTTGTACATTAGCGCAGTCTTCGCTGGCTGAACCCGAATTTTACTGTTATCTCGGCGATTCCGTATTACAACGTCCGATATACGAGGAAATAATTGAGGATTACTTTTAACAAATAGGGCCAGTTCCAGAATATAAAGTGACGGAAGTGTGAGTATTTTATGCTTTTTAAAAAGTGGCTTACAGCTTTCCGAACCTTGCATACCGAACATGGCACGTAGGCATCGCTTTTGCATTATAAATGCCATATCTTTATTTGTTGAGTTGCCCCAAAATATGATACCATATCTTAGAAGAGATTCAACCAGTCCATAGTACGCTGAGAGTAAAACATCAGTGTTGTATCGTTTAAAATTTTAAATGTTCCAAAGTAAAAGGATAAGAACCTACGTTTTATAAAGAAATAGTATAAGGTAAGTAGGTACATACCTACATTGTCTCCTTTTGGTATCTCATCAGCATTGCAAACACCCTGTTTGATTATCATATTCATATAACATTTAAAACAAGATTAAAGCGATAACGTTACTGGTGAAAAAAGAAATGATTGTAGTAGGAACATTAGTGCTTAAAGTATAATATGTCTAACTGTTCAGAAAATAACGGTCGTGGTTTGTAATATTCGAAATTCAAGAAGAAGTTAATTGGGTTAACTTTGTGTTCTTGAATATTAAAATAACATGAAACATTTTCAGTCACAGAAATATCGTGTTTGTGCTATCCCTGTGAAGACGCTTCTGCTTATAACTGTTAGTATAAATTGTTTATTTTAATGAATTCGCTTTTTTGGCACAGATACATAATTGAAGTGCACAGTAGACCCGGTGTTTTATTTTCGAGGTTGGAAAATCATCAATGTCTTCTTTTGCCCAGCGTGAGGCGAGAGGGAGTGTCGGACTCTTTACTAGTCAGACTAAAAACCACCCCGTTCTTTCTCCTGCCCCAGGCCGAGCCTGCGTTACCTTATTGCGTTTACCCTGCAACCTAGATGCGGTGGTTGGGTTATGAGTTCAATTCCCGCAAGGAGCAACTCTTTGTGTGATCTAGAAATTGTTCTTCTAAGTCTGGGTATGAGGTTTATGTCAATATTGATGTTTGCAAACGCAATTAGCAGCCGACACAGCAATGATTACCTTCTAGTCCGGGGACGCATTTTTTTGTATATGAAAAATAAACTTACCTACATGCGTATGTATGTAAATAGTTATGTTATTATGTATGTATACGTACACAGTAGTGACCGTGACAGTAGTCACTGGTATTTTGCCGTTTGCTCTTAATTTCTCAATTCAGTAAACACTACGTGTAAGTAAGTGCGATGATGGCGCTCTTTTGTTATCCCATGTAGAAAATTAATATCACGTTGCTCATTGTATATCGTATCGTACCTAATTGTTATCTGAGAAATAGTAACTGGTGTTTCTTTGGAAACAACAAGATTTCGTAGTGTAATCGCTAAGAAAGCAATGCGGTTTATTTGTATTTAATGTTTATTACAACCTATTATAATAACTGGGATTTAAGTTGTAATACACAACATTTGTGGGAGAACCATGATTCGGCATAAATGGTCGACCGGAGACCGGCCGACCACGGCTTCACAGAGAACTGTCTGGTGTTTTTTAATATATTTCATAGTAATAGAAAAAATTACAGTTTTTTGAATTAATAATTAACAATTGTGATTTGAAAACTAGTGTTATTAAGATGTCTTTTTTTTTGATAAGTGAACTTTTTGTAGTAATATCCTGTTATTTGTTAAATGCATGTCGTGGCAGCCTTTAATTAAGGCTACACTATACAATGTTAAAATATGTTAAAAACCTATCATGTATTTTAGTGTATGCTTTGTTGGTTGCCCTTAAATAAATAAATAAATAAATAAATAAATAAATAAATAAACTGGCTGGCCGTGTGAGTGAGATCACCGGAGGCCTAATTCTTCCCCTCCCCAATCCCTACTAATTCCCAAAATCTCTAAATCCCTAATCCCAAAAAGGTCGGCAACGCACTCGTAACTTCTCCGTTATTGTGGCTGTCCATGGGCGGTCATTTCCGTCAGGTAATGCGTTAGTTTTTTTTTGCCGATATATCACATAAAAAAACATTTTAGAAAACGCGTAATGACATGATCATGGCGCCTTTCCCCTAGTAAAGTTGTAAGTGTGGGAGAGCCATGCTTCGGCACGAATGGGTCGGCTCGACTGGAGTGATACCACGGCCTCACAGAAAACCGGCGTGAAACAACCACAGCGTTGTGTTTCGCCGTGTGAGTGAGGTTACCGGAGGCCCAATCCTTCCCCACCCCCAATCCCTCCTCAATCCCTAAATCTCCAAATCCCTAATCCCTAAAAGGTCGGCAACGCACTCGTAACTCCTACGTTGCGGGTGTCCATGGGCGGCGCTGATTACTCTTACCATCAGGTAATCCGTCTGCTCGTTTGCCGATCTATTACATATAAAAAAAAAGTAAGTCCTTTCTCACATTTTATCATTATGTTCTCAGCTGCGCAAGTTTATGTAAGTAATCTGGCGCCATGTCAGAACAAATATTGTTTGCCATAAAAACCATCTTTATTTGGAAATGATATCAGATTATGAAAATAAGAACAGCCGATAAACCGGCCGTTCGGTTGAGTGTTTGCCCGTATTGCAAGTGCAGCTGGTACCGATTAATGGACTTAAACTGTAAAATTCGGTTGCCGCATTCGACATTCGGCCACAAACCGTTTGCGGTGACTGACCCAGTATAAAAGTTGATACGGCTTGCCAAATCTGATGATTTGGTAACATCCATCGTAGTAATAAATAACTTAAGGATTTGGGTGTTCATTAGGGAATCGGTAGTGCACTTTTATTTTTATTTTTTATTTTATAAAACGGCCGGAATTATTCGACCCTATAAATTAAATGTAAATACTACATTTAAAAAAATTGTGTATGTATATTTCGCTACGGATCTTTAGATTACCTACATATTTTGTATAAACTTTTTTTCAGGTGAAAATGATTTTGTTAGTCTGGCTAGCGGTTGTTTTAGTGATCTCCTGCAATGGTCAGATAGTGAACAAATATGAACACTACTTGGACGATCCCGCTGTGAAACTGTTCAGGGAATACTTACAAATAGACACAAGCAAAGAAGAGAATATACGTATGTACCTATAATGTTATTAACTATTTATTTTAGGTTTTTTTTCTTTACCGTTTAATAATAGATACAAACATTTAATAATTGTTTAATTTATATACTTATTTTTAAATAAGAACGAAAATAAATAAAATAAAAATGTGTTTATTAACAAACATTGTTTTAAGTATGTAGGAACTATAAAGTTGCAGGGGCTTTCCAAAAAGTAATCCGAAAATATTTGTGTAGTCTCAGGACAAATCTCGCTTTTCCTTGTTTATAAAAATGTATCGATGTTCTAATTATAACTTCACATTTTATAAGTACAATCAAAGAAATAAATTTTACAGCAAAGACAAAATATCAGATCACATCTTAAATATATGTTTGTTTATGCGTGAGCTTATATGTGTGTGTATATAAGTGTTCAACGTGTACCAGTGTACGAGTGTGTTTGTGTGTGCGTGTGTGTTTTTGTATGTATGTACAAGTGTAGGTAATGAATGGGTTTTATAACTACCAACTGTGTAATTATTTTTGCTTCGGTATCTGTGGATTAAGTTCATCCTAGTGTAACCAAAAAGTCATCAACGTCGTCATATTTTAGAGCGAGGAGACCATTTTTCAAATTTTTTACACTCTTATAACTGCATATTATGTTCATATTATTATACATGAAGTGTGCGATTTATTTTGTTATAAGTAAACGCTTGAGCTACATTTTGTCGCTTAGCAAAAGTAGAGCGTGCAGATACTTAGGTATTTTTTTATTTAATTATAAGTATTATTATTTAAATGAATGCAAATTGATCTACTTAACAGTCAAAATTCGTTTTTCTTCACTGATTCCTGCCCTTGACAATAATAATATGTAATTTGCGAAGGTTAACATTCGCTGCACATAATTAGCGAAATAATTAACTAAAGTAACAAAAGCTTCTGGAACTCCAATACTTATTTTGTTTTTTTTGTTTCAGAAACTGGATTGGATTTCTGGATACGTCAGGCGAACGATGTGGGCTTGCCTTATGCGGTGTACTCGCCGGCCGGCAAGCCGATTTTTGTGGCTACTCTGGAGGGCTCCGACCCTTCTCTACCCAGTATTATGCTCAACTCACATATGGACGTAGTAAAAGCTAAAGCGGTAACTAATATTTCACCTTATTACAAATAACTTAATATTTACTATCAATCATATTTTATAAGCTAGCTACATTTGGGTATGTAACTTAAATGAAAATCCTTACATATATTTTTAATCCAGGGGTCAATGACACGTAGATTGTTAAGTGAGTATAGGTACTGGATAATTAACCTTCTTTTGCTGTGCCCTACAGGGTCCATAATTGATCTCACACAAATTGTTACCACCTTTAAATGTACTTATGGAAAAGCAATAAAGATATTGAGTATTGAGTATTGAGCATTAACAAAAATCTACATACGTTTTGATTCCACTGTTCTTAAGACTTAAGCGTGTCGGGTTAGTTCTTCAGCAGGTGTCAATATTTGATTTATAACATATTGGGTTATTTTATCATCAAGAAGTTTCTCTTTTTGTAAACGTTGCATTTATAAATTACGGCCAAAAAACTAGGCAACGCACTACTCCGATATTGCGGAAGCTCTAATGAAGGCGCTGAACAACACAACATCGGTCGATCTACGTGCTACACCCATGTATAAAATAACTAAGAAAATAAAACAAAAGCATTCGTTAAATTGTTGTTGTTATAACAAACATTTACAATAATTTATAGAATCAGGCGTTACTTTGCGGAAATCCATGACATTCAACGGAAAAACGTTTTTCCGTTTTGTGTATGTGTGCATATGCATGTCACCCTTGCTGCATGTGCATATGCATGATTGCATAGGAGTGGGATTGCATCCTGCAACAAGCCTGGATTTTTGTCGCGGAATTAAAACTAAATATTTTCCCTAACATTTAATTCAAACATTTACAGTAAAAATGCAATTACAACCTTACATTACGCACTCTAGAAAAATAATAAAAACATTAATAAAAAGCTGAGAAAGATAAACAATTGAAATATCACGAGGTTGTCGACATGTGGAATGTGGACTCGGCTATCATTGTGCTGATAGTTGTGTCGGCAAATGGGTTAGTCCACAAAAGCCTCGACGCCTTAAGGAGAGCCTTAAGAGACGTTAGGCGGATGGATCAAGGGCCTCATACAGACGGCGTCCTCCTTGAAACGGCACGTATTGTGAGGAGATTTCTGTCTCTGGAGTCCTAACCACCGGTGGCTTGGACTTTGCTCCCGCTACCTGTAAATAAATAAATACTGTAAATAAATACTGTGTTCTTATTATGTATTTTTATATACTTGTATTTGTGTGCCTATTTGTCGAATAAATGTGTTTTCTTTCTTTTTTTCTTTCTACCGGCTGGCACCTATTTTTATATTTTTAAATATTATTTTACTGATATTTATAGTAATATTGAAATATGTAATTTTAGTAATTTAAATAAATATGTAATAAATATAACATTAATAAATAAAATAATAAAAGTATTTTCCACATATATGTACAAAGGATAAAAGAAAATGTATAATAGGTATGCACGACATCCTACTTATGGGAAAACCCATCAAGCGAACAAGTTGCGATGTTTTGGTTTGAGATCGGCTTTTACATTTGACTAGATTTGACTATTAAAAGTCATTAAAACTGAAATTTGACTGACAGACAACCGCCTGGTATCGTTGGTTGCATTCCCCGGAACAATTTTTTGTGTGATATCATTGTTCCAGGTGAAGATAAGGGACCTACTATTTGTGCATTCACGCCACAGGATAAACCGAGTATTTTTCTATAAGCAATGTAATTTATCCTTGCAGAGTGAATGGAAATATCCGCCGTTTGATGCGTATATGGATGAAAATGGTGACATTTATGCTCGAGGAGCACAAGACACTAAAGACATTGCTATCCAATACTTGGAGGCTATCAAGAGATTCAAGAAAGAAAATGTTACTTTACCTCGTACTTTACATATCACCATTATGACAGGTTTACAATTGCATTTCTTTAGACTTACTTAGTTTTTTTTATCAGTTAACATTTATTTTATTTTATTTAAATAAGTACAGTCATAGTTTGGATGGTCACAAATATTAAGCTTTTTACGCTTTTAAAGTTTTTATACCCGGGTCTCATTTAAAGACGTTTTTAAAAGTCTTTTTAATTGAATTTTCACGAGTTTGTTTGGTCGTCTCATGTTCATGGGCCCCATGGACGAGTGATTCCAAGTTTTGGCATCGGCAAGAAAATGGTTGTTAGGTTTCATTTTGGAGTCACATATACTGTTGTAACATTATTAACGCCCTTTTCCAAACAAAAATTAAGATCTCTTTACTGTTCTTAAGATCTAGAACATATAAAATATTTATGGATTGGTTTTAGATGAAGAATCTGGTAGTGCGCAAGGAATGAAAGTGTTTGTGAATACGAATGAGTTTAAAACCTTAAACGTTGGATTCGCTTTCGACGAGGGGCAAACCACACCCGGCGACACTATCCTTGCTTCGTTCGTGGACAAGAGAGCTTGGTGTGAGTACCAACTTTATACTTAATGTCTCTGCTCTATTCTGTGATTGACTGTTAAAAAAATCAAAATTACTTTTGGCGTAAGGTTTGACGATTCACATTTTGAATATTATTGTTAAATAATACAATTGGATATCTACGTACAGGGACGTGGAATAGGTATATTTTCAAACAAGCAACATGTCTTGTTGAGCCTGAAAAATAATATAAATTTTTGATGTTTATAAAAATAAAACGAAAATACATTATTTATCTATAAGCTATTATTTTTAAGTTAGGTATTATATTTATTTTTATTATTGTATTTTTACAACACGTAGTAAATAATGTTTTTAAATACACAAAAAATCAAATAATATGACTATTGTTGACTACTTACCTATATTTGTCTTTACATTTCATATTATAATTGAGAGTATCTAAAATTGAAAGGTATTCTTTCATGTAAGTAATTATTTTTATATTTTACAGTAATGAATTTTACTATACGTGGTGTTGGCGGTCATGGGTCTTTGATGCCGGATGGTACAGCCATGGACAATGTAAGTACAATGCGCCCACTTCGTATTTATCATCATCAAACCCTTATCCCCAAAAGGCCTGCAACGCACTCGTAATTCCGCTAGTCGCCTGACGCTGTGGATGTCTGTTGGCGGCGCCAATTACTACCAGGTAATCGGCATGATCGTTTGCCAACCTATCGCATAAAATATCAAATATCAAAACATTTCCGTCCTCTAATCAGCATTATTTAGAAGCTTCCTTACTTTACTGGAGGATTTTATGTAGAAGCTGCAAAAAAAAAAGATTATATGTTACCTTTCAAACTATGTCAGTCATTTAAGAAAAAATTGAAACATCTGATTGTTTGTTGATAATTTAGTCAATCAATCAGATTTGACAAGAGATTAAATTGATTTTAACATAGATCGGCCTTTCGGAAACCGGGTGTTAGTGTATTTTTTATTTCCACTCCACATAGTGTAGTGTGAGTAAGTGTAGTTTTTTGAGGGGAAATGTCATAAAATGACTTCTCCCGTCTTGGGTGGGATGTGAGGGAGTGTCAGACTCTTACTGACTAAAAACCATCCCGTTCCTTCTCTTACCACAGGCTGGGGCCGCGGTACATTGGTGCCCTTGAACCGCCGCCGCCTGCTTGAACCCGGTTAATATTTACGTGGTCGAGTTACTTAGCTATTAAATTGGTAATTCGGCTTATTAATAATTCTGTAGCACAAACATTACTTGACGTCTTGACATAAATTTTTAAATGTAACTTTTTAAATTATGTATCTATAATAATATAAAAATGGATCGCAAAATGTGTTGGTAAGCGCATAACTCAACAACGCCTTGACCAATTTTGCTAATTCTTTTTTTGTTATGTTCGTTATTATATGGAGAAGATTTTTTTTTGAAAAAAAGCGAATAGCCGTAATTAACAGCCCTTTCAACGCCGTAGCTGTTCGCTTGCAAAACAAATGACTGACACCAGGGTAGTCGGGGACCCGTGCGAAGCAGGGGCGGTCTGCTAGTATGTAATAAGTGTCAGCTGCACCGAAGTGACAGCCTTGTGTTTCGCCGTGTGTGTGACGTTACCCAATCCTTCCTTTCCCCCAATCCCTAAATCTCCAAATCCCTAATCCCTAAGGCCGACAACGCACTCGTAACTCCTATGTTGTTAGCTTACCATCAGATAAACAGATAGCTCGTTTGCCGACCAATCACATAAAAAAACAAAAAACAATAGTTGAAATATATTATATTACATTTTCAGTTCCATACATTTCTGAACGCTGTGAATGAATATAGAGATACACAGAAAGCAATTCTCAAGTCTGTGGCTAACAGCACTATCGGTGCTGCATCTTATACAAGTATCAACATCAATACACTCAAGGTAAGTTTTATCTTACGTTTTTTCACGTTGACAAGTACCTATGTGACTTATTCTAAGTTATAAGTATGTACTTTCTGAAGTCATCTAGTTATCTTTATCTAGACTATATTAACATACGTGAAGGAAAACATCCTGGGGAATAATAGTACCCACTTAATAATGATAAGTTTAAAATCGGCCATCTGCTTTAAGCAAGCGTGTTAATGCTGAAACTTTTTTCGTGTCCAAAGAAACCTTTGCTCAGAATCTGACACTTATTATATATATATTTAGATATATATATTTAAATCTGTTTTAATAACAGAATCGTCCGAAACAAGGAATTTCATTAGTTTGTTTACATTATAAAAATGAGCTTTTTTTGGATTGCATCCAAGACATTTGTATTAAAGAAGAAGATATGTTATTTTGCTATGTTATAGGGTGGGATTGCCAGCAATGTCATAGCGACAGAGATAAATGCCATCATGGATATGAGACTTGCTTCAAATGCTAATCCACTAGACATCCAGGCCTTGGTGAGTTCAATAATTATACGATTCCTTTGTTTAGGCCTCAGCCAACACGATCTTTTATTTTACAATTTTTTTTCAAAAGCAAGTGTCCCGTCCCGGCTTCGCACGGGTGTAATGGTGATACTGAATATCTCCTCTATTTAATGAATGTAAACTTAAATAAACATATAAACTTATTAACGATCTCCGTATTCTGTCTATTAAGTACCGCATCAAAATTTGTTGCGTAGTTTTCAAGATTTAAGCGTAGATGCATAGGGATAGAGAGACAGAGTTTTATACTATCTATGTAGTGATTATACGCGATTAATGTGGTTCGATTTTCCTGCTAAGCGTGGATGTTATGGCAGTCAGAATCAGAATCAGAGTCAGAATCATTATCATCATACACATCAGAATGTTTTTGATGATGATATGCTAACAGTTTCTCGATGTTTCTGTACAGATAAACTCCTGGTTAAGAGCAGCTGGTAATAACAACTCCGTGATATATATTCGACGTGAAAATGAATCAGGGATAACATCGGTCGACGACACCAATCCCTTCTGGGTCTCCATGCGGAATACTTTAAATGGAATGTAAGGGTATTTTTGTGATATCTGTTTGTTTCAAAGCAAAATGTAGTTTTAGTTGTGTGAGTATTATTTGAAAGAAAATTGTACTTATCTCAGTATTCCTTCATATGAGACATTGGTTTATTTTGTTTTTATTTATGTAATACTTTGACTGTATTAGCTACATGACATAAACTTGAAATTAAAACAATAGACATCGTTAAAAAGTATATACTTAAGTATATTCAAGTGTGGGAGAGCCATGCTTCGGCACGAATGGGTCAACTCGACCGGAGTGATACCACGGCCTTACAGAAAACCGGCGTGAAACAACTACAGCGTTGCGTTTCGCTGTGTGAGTCAGGTTACCGGAGGCACAATCTTTCCCCTCCTCCTCCAAATTCCTTATCCCTAAACACTGGCAACTCCTCCGTCGCGGGTGTCCATGGGCGGCGCTGATTGCTTACCATCAGGTAATCCGTCTGCTCGTTTGCCGATCTATTACATAATTTTTTTTTATAAAATCCTTACTACATTCGTCAGGACTTATTTTTTCAATGCATATACTTTTTAGCGATGTTTATTGTTTGTATGTATAATTTTGTTTGCGCGACAAAGGGTCATGTATACGTTTGTTACTCTTTCGCTAAATAATTACTGAAAGGACAATAATAAAATTTTACATAGCGAAAGGCTACTTTTGACCCTGATACCACGGACAAAACCAATAGACGGGACCTAGATCCATTTTTTTTAATCTAAGTCCTTCTTACGAGAACTTTTCTAAGGTCTTTTTGTTTTTTTCTGTTACAGGGGTATCGAACTAAAGCCAGTGGTCAAAGCAGCGATGTCTGACGCAGTCTACATACGAAATAAGGGTATACCAACCATCGGTTTTGCAACCAAAACCCGGACTATCCATAGACTACATGCCAAAGACGAATATCAAAATGTAGAAACGTTCCTTAGAGGTATTGATATTTATACTGAAGTGCTCAAGGATTTAGCTAATGTTCCTTGAGTTGAATAAAATTAAACTATTTTTTTTTTAAATGAGTTGTTTGGTTGAAACAATGATTTGGTCTTAATGTGAATAAAGGTTAATATTAAAATAAAAAGACGTGTTTTACTATATTTTACTAGTCTGTAATTAAACTGGTTATGTCGAATTCTATGGTTTATTCGCCCACCTGATAAAAGCTTGGTTTTAAAAAGGTTTTTAAAATAAGGTTTAAGGTAAGTTTAAAGCTCAGAATACTTACAGAACAAGTTTAAAGTTGAGGTAGCCTTCTCGTTGTGGTGGCCCGCTCTCTGTGCAAGAAGATACGCAACCTGGCAGGTACTAAAATAACTTCTTCCGAATCATGTACACTTTCTAAGAATAACTAAATACCAAAAACATTTTTACTATGAAAGAAAACATCATGCAGAACCCGATTTTAGGTTTACTGAAGAATCCAATGAATTCTCTCTCCCTGAGTGAGGCGAGATCAGGACTAGATTAGACCTATTAACTAAAACTCCAACCCGTTCCTTCATTTGCCACTTGCCGGGCTGCGGTTCCTACATTATCAGCACTTCCATCCTCAACACCTGTTGGACATCAGGCCTTTTTTGTTGGTCTAATAGCTCTATGAGGCGCGTGAAAATGGGTCGTTCCACAACGCTCGGATCTGGTTCTAGTCGGGCGGGAAATCTGCCTCTCTCTCTTTCAGTAATCTTGCTTGCCGTCACTAAACTTCAGTCATTTAAGTATAGTGACCGGATCATCGTCACGCGACCATCGAAGCCCAGAGCGTAACCTGCAGCGAGAGGAGGAGGTCACCATCTCCTTAGCTAGTATAACTGCTTTGCCTAATGAGAAGACGGATGTCCAGTTTCTCCGAGAGATCTTAGATCTGGACTTATAAAAAAAATATTATAATTGTAAAGTCGCATAATTGTAAAGGCGTGGCAATTTTTGCTCACGCTTCTTCGTGAGAGAAGAGGCCATGGCTCAGCAGTGGTCACTTATAAATTGAGTAACAAATAAATTCATCCAAACTATTGCATTTTTATAGAAACCTCTTTAAATTACGTAAACATAAGTATGTTATGTTATTACTATATTAATTTGTCATATGAGTAATAAAAAAGCTAGGGATTAACTGGACAATGAGTATCTATAGGTAGGTATATATTAGACAGAGGACAGGTCTAATTGGTTAGTGTCAGACAAACCGCGTTTAAATGTAAGGAAACAGTTTGGAAAAAACGCAATAAAATCAATCCGACATTCAGCACATATTTATTTACCTATAAATCAATACTATAGGGACATTAATATAATATTTAGGTATTAAATATAAGTAATGACAGATGATTTCGCAAATGCTTAAAAAACATAAGTAGGTAGGGACCGTATAGTTATATAACCTAGACAGCGTTGACGCAAAACAAAACATCTACTATTCATATATTATATTGGATTATACATTTTATAATACATAATTATTATGATATTTTTGTAAGTTTGTTTGTACGTATGTTGTTAACGTCCGTGTTGGAAGATTAGACAGACGGTTTACCTGATGGTAAGTAATCGACACCGTCCTATATAACGGCATCACCAGAAGAGGTACAAGTGCATTGCTGCCCTTTTAGGAAAGAAATTTGAGTAATGGGGAAAAATAGGGAAAGGGCTTTGTGCATTGTATCTTCACCCGCGCAACAAATCACAATTCATACCTTATTTCATGCCGGTTTCCGAAGATGCCGTAGTTTTGCACCGATCGAAACGGTCCTTTCAAGCCTAAGCTTGGTAGTGCCTACTTAGTTTAAAAAAACAGTTATATATTCGTTCACATGGTACGCAGTAGTTAAGTAGTTGTATTTAGCTTCCATATTAATGTTTTTTATTGGTTCCAAATTGTTCGTCCTGACATCATCCCGAATTATCAGTGCAGTCTTTTTCTTCTATTCTTCCATATATGTTATTATAACAATATTGTGGGTTATAACATTATTCGGCGACAGTTAACATTTATCGGTGACCAACACACTGGGTGAGTCGGCCTGCACCAGCTGTCAACCATTGTTCCGATCAACCATGTTTTAGGAGCGGAACAGCCCAAACTATTTCCACCAAACATAGGACATTTTTGTACGCAAGACAATTCAGCCCAGAATTTAGGTATAGTAATGACTTTTTAAACAAGATTCTCAGTGTGCAATGTAAACACTTTTGCCCCATACGATAATGGGCTTGTGTTATATCTGGGCACAGTTATACACCCACAAGAGCAAATAAGCCAAAGGCAAACCTATCACATTTATCGTGTCATCGAGTGTGATATTGTGCACTAAATAAATAAACATATTTTTTACATGATTACATATGTATCTTATGAAAGCATTTTACCTGTATTACATGGCCCCCGAGTAAATATTTACGAATTGCTAATTTAATTTAATCTTTTTCCTGAAAAAAATATGACACAATATTGTATTGTACTTTTGTAGTAGACAGAATAGATCTGTTTACAACTACCGACCTAAAATTCTGTAATTATTAGAAAATCAACGATTCATACCGGTATACCTAACATTGCCACCAACTTATCATCATCATATTTGCCAAGAATTAGTCATTAAATAATTACAAGAAGAGTGAATGATCTTTTCAAAATCAGTCGTTTTTTAGACGACGCTTACCCAGGAGTTGATAACACATTCGAACAATTTTCTTCATTTTGGATACGTACCTACGTTATTTTGAATCACGTGTTAAATGGCAAATATATCAATTGGATAGTACCTAAGTATTGGGATCTACAAGAACACTGGAAGTAGTGGAACGTGACATTAACGACGTCTAAGGAACACACCACCTATCGTGGATTTACTGATTCAAGAAAGAATCCAGGAGACACTAAAAATCTATAACATTTTTTGTTGACTACCTATAAAGATCGTCGGTATTGTCATTTAGAGGTACATTGTCGAAGAATAAAGCAAGATAGCTGACAATCTTCTGTGCGCCTAACTTACTATTTCAATATCACCCACCAAATAATTCCTGCCCCCTAGATGGGAGACATATAAAAGTGGAAACGTGTGTGCCAGTGTGTCCAATTTTCATCGGTTGTTGTGGGTAACTGAGTAATAGTAACGGCACCATCATGGTGGTAAGGGAGATGGTTTCCTATTTCATCTCGTCATCTCACTCTAAATGTAAGACTGGACAAATAATGTGCGCACAACATTATTTTCCCCGTAAAAAAAGAGCAGAACATTTCAAAATTCTCAAAAGTATTATGCGTTCTTGTCAATGGCCATGATTTGCCTTATCTACATATTTATGCGTAACATTTATACCTATAGGGAGCATCGGCAGACTTTTGATGATGATCAGCGTCTTACTATAGGTACTCAATGACGACTTATCAATAACATAAATCGTTTTTGAAGTGTGGGTGAGCCGTACTTCGGCAGGAATGGGCCGTGTCGACTGCGGATACCACGGCCTGACAGAAGGTCTCGGTGTCCCAATTTTCCCCTCCATCCTCAATTGTCAAATCCCCTATTCTTAAATCCCTAATAACAACCACAAGCCAGCAAAGCGCTTATATCTAGTTCCTAAATCCTTTGGTATTACGACTGTCCATGTCCATAGGTGGCGCATCTTGCATACCATCGGGTAATGTATCAGCTGGGTAACCTATTTGATAAAAAACAACAAATGCAATAAAAATAATAATAGATTATATCTGATTAAAAAATACTTATGTATAAGTTATTTCTTACTTATGTCGCCTAAGATTGTTTTTTTTTATTCAACGAAGACGATTAACATGCTTGAAGACGTTTTATTCGTTGGCAGCATTTGGACAAATTATAGTCAACCTTTTTTCCTCCAATTGTCTTCACGATGCCAACATTCAATTAGTTTTCAGGCAAACGCCTTGTAAAGCGCTAGTATTGTAAGAAAATGCAAAGAACCAGTTTAAAAAGTAAACCAGTTCGATATAGTGTTATTTATATACATAATAACAGTGTCAGTTAAACAAATTACCTTCACGGTACTTTGTTCGATTTTAACATTTTAATATAAATAAAGATAAAATAATATAAAACATATGTATTTCCTACCCAGATAATAAAATGTGTTTCGTTTCGTCGGTAGATTAAGTTGTTAACGTATGAATGGTGAAATGTGATTGTAATTTTATAGCGTGGTACCTATGGCTAATATTTTGGAGTAGATAATATAAGGTCTTTCTCGCGTATGATCGGTCTGTGTAAAATATTCGCTCGACGAGAGCATACACCGCAGTGTTAAACACCATATATATAAAATAATACGCGAATGTTACATCCAGCAAGTAAGTTTATTAAACACGTTTATTCTTTTACCGAGTATTCATAAATATTCAAATAACTTCAAAATCACCTTGTGGGCATGTATTTAATTACTTTTTATACAAAATGTAATAAATGTTTCGATAGAACCCATTGTTCTTGAGAATAAAATTATGCAAACATTTTGTTTTTGTTTAATGTAATTGTAGATTGGTGGGTAGTTAACGTTACGTTTGTAGAAGTGTATCTATCTAATAAAATTAAAAGTGAGTCAGTGTTAATTTCTATGTTAATTGTTGTTTCACGTGTTGTTATCAATGTGACATAATTAGAAAGTGAATTTAATTTAGTAAATACCTACATTATTATTTACAAGCGAATACACATTGTTGTTCAAAGTGTATAAAATTAACAATCTTAATCTCACGGAAATATTTTTGAATAGAGGACTTTAAAAAAAGAACTGTTTTATTTTTACAGCAAAATGTGGGTATCCTTAATTCTTGTGAGCATCCTAATAGTGACGGATATTAGCAAAGCTGGCCCTTTACGGAACAGATATTCAAAATATCTAGAACTAGAACCAGTTGAAAGATTTATAGAATACATCCGTATAGACACCAGCAGAGAAGAAAATATCAGTAAGTACATAAACAGTTGTTTTCTAAATAATCTAACTAATAGCTAAACTACATCATTTTTCAAGTAACTAAGGTACTGTAACCGACATTATTCTTCTAAGGTTGATTAGTATGTATTATCTATTATTTCGATTTCTTGTCTATCCTTCTGCTACTTTGGTATTTTTTTCTGTAATGTTCACTTTGTAATTAATTGAATTACCTTCCACAACAATCACCTAAGGATACCATAGGACTACAGTACAGATGTGCATTAGCTACGTCCGGCACAGTTGATTGATGGATAAAATAACAATTGATTCAAAACGCAGTGATAGTAACCATGGTTTGCCTACCAAGCCGAGGGATTGCTTCAAAAAATAAGGCTTTATTAAAAACCACATACGTAATTTAACAATAGCTATTGTTTGTACCAAGTCAATCTTATTTGTCCTCATGCATATCAAATAGTTGTGAAGACTGCACCTGAGTAAACTTCTACACCTTCATAAAAATAACAAGTGTGGTGTTTAAATAAGTGGGTAGCTACTTATATTATAAACGATATTTAATTATAATAGAATACGTTCCAACATAATTGAAGTGGCCCAGTGTGACGTATTTTATCTACCAATCTATATTATTTATGACAGTCGAAAACAATGAAAATATTTTAAAAAAATATTTTGTTATACAATGCGCAATATTTTTTTATGTGACCAGTAGTACAAAAACTTAAAAAAAAATAATTTATTTATGTCTGCTGCTATTATTATAAAGGCGAAAATTTGTTAATATGGATGGTAACTTTATTATTGTTTGGCGCAAACAATACGAAACAGATCTGAATGAAATTTGGCACAGATACCGATTATAGCCTGGCATAATAAATTGTTGTTCCGGGTCTGGGTGTCGTGTGTATGTAAAATTTTATTGTAAACGCACCATTATTCCCCGTAATTTCGTACACCCGTTCTATTTTTTAAATAAATAATAAAAATATACTTTTATTCTGGTACTACGGACTAGCCACTGATAGAAACTAGTTTTCTATTCTGTTTGTAGTTTGTAGCTTCATATATTACTGTGGAAGCTATGTACGTATCTAGGTAAATAAATTCTGTTCTAATTTTAGGTACTATTAGGTCATATGTCGTAACGATCACACTGTTATCAGCTAGACGACCTTTTATCTTCCTCTTGAATAGATTTATAAGAAATACCTCTAGATACTATAGATTACAGTAGTCAAGCAAGCAAAGATAATATAAGCGGTTTGATATCTAGCCGTAAAAAAACAAATTTTAAATTTAAATGTAACCTTTACGCAAATAAATACTAAGAAGAATTTATCATTTTCGATATTATTAATCACTATATTAGTTATTAAGAAACAGATAAAAACGAACAGTTTTATAGAAAAACTAGCTGACCCAGCAAAAGTTGTTTTGAATAGAAACTGTCATGAGACATACTATTTTTTTTAAAAAGACGTCGTTTTGCCATACATAGGTATAAGTTATTTCGATATCACTAAGGGTATGAAAAATAGGCAATAGCCGACTTTCAGACCTACTGATTTAACATATAAAGTTGGTTAAAATCAGTTAAGCTGTTTTAGAAGAGTACGGTAACTAATATACACGAGAATTTCATATAATAAGTAAGATAATAATGTGCTTCGACTCCGCCCGGTCAATTTCTGAATAACGTATTACCTACACTTTTTACGTAGTTACACTAAACATATGCGATTGATAAAAATAAATTCGTTCATTCATTTTGGAACCACGTGTTCCAAAGTAAATAGTTAACATTTCAAATATTTAATTTAAAAAATAATTATAAACGTTAAATAAAGAATTATTTTACGCTAATAGTTATGTATGACTATGTTAGCGATGTGATCTTTGACATAGTATTTAATAGATACACACGACGCAGTTCGAGCATGCTATCAGGGAGATACGCCTCCTATTCGATATCACTCAGTCGTTTAGTACGAAAAGTTAGTTACCTAGTTAGTTTATGTAACAACCAATATATTTAGTTACATAAACTAGTACTTCTGGCCATTCTTGTCATGGAAAGCCATTAGGCACCTAGTGTAAAAACTGTATTTTTAATAGTGAAAGGGTTTTTTTAAAGAAACTTCTTCTTTTCATTGCTTTCATGCATTCTTACGTCATTGACGTATCTCCAAACGGAACCCATCTTGAAATATACAATTGAGTTTCCTAGGTGAAAAATAAATTAATTCCACCTTTCAATACAATAAATATTGATAAATAACTATAATTTCATTAATCGATCAATCGATACACTAAGTTTTAGATTTTTTTAGCTATTTTTTAAGAAATAAGTAAGGTATTTGACGTAAAAATACTACGACGCCATAACTCAGTATTTCATACACATTTCATAGAAAAGTGTCGTTTTTGACATTTGGACAAAAGTATTGAATTTGACTATTTCGAAACTACCGTATTTATGGAGTAAATATTAATCCAAATTTAGCTGTATGCGAGAATTGAAAGCAGGAGGCTTAGCGTAGAGGGTAGCTGCATATACGTATGTCTTTACCCTTTATCTTCAATTTATTTCAAAGAGGGAGAGAGAGAGAGAGAGAGAGAGAGAGAGAGGGGGGGGGGGAGAAAGGTAGGTTTCCTGCACAGAGGAGCCAGCTGCTTAATCAGGGTATGTATAATTATTGTAAGAAAATTTCTTAGACGATGGTCATTTTAACAATTATCAATATTGGTGTGCATTCACTTACAACAAGAGACCCGTTTTGATTTACTGATACATATTTTTTAAGGCTTGTTGCTTAAGTATGAGCAACTTCGGTTACAAAATTATATACTTACATATTTATTTCACAAACAACATATTACTTTTTGCTTATAGACAAACTTATACCAGGGCGTGTCAATAAGTCCGTGACTTTTTTATTTTTCTGCCTCTTAATTGAAATGGCAACACTGCTACCGTCAACAGTCATCTATCATATGACTCCTGACGAAAATTCAACAAGCTGTGACAATAAGTTAGTTTTTTACAGTCGTTAATATCAGACTACCGCGTTGATTGAGAAGAAAATGGAAAAAAGTGAATTTCGTGTGCTCATTAAGCATTATTTTTTTGCGGAAAAAATCCATTACGGAAACCAAGGCTAAGCTTGAAAAATATTATGGGGACTCTGCACCACCCATTTCCATGGTAAAAAAGTGGTTTACTGAATTCCGATGTAGCCGCACCAGCACAGAAGATGCCGAACGTTCTGGACGCCCATTTGAGGTCTCCACATCCGAAACCGTTGAAAAAATCCACGATATGGTTTTAGCCGATCGACGATTAAAAGTGAAAGAGATTGTGGAAGCCATGGGCATCTCGCATGGCTCAGTGGTTTAAATTTTAAACGATCATTTGGGTACGAGAAAGCTTTCCGCAAGATGGGTGCCGCGTTTGCTCACAATCGACCACAAACGCAAGCGTGTGACAATTTCGCAGGAATGTTTGGGGTTGTTCAATCTCAATATGAACGAGTTTTTGCGCCGTTTTGTAACCTTGGACGAAACGTGAATCCACGACAATACACCAGAGACCAAACAGCAGTCAAAACAGTAGGTTTCTCGGGGTGAATCGGCGCCAAAGAAGGCAAAGGTGGGGTTTTCAGCCAATAAAGTCATGGCGACTGTTTTTTTGAGATGCTCGCTGTATTATCCACATTGACTACCTTCAATAAGGAAAAACAATCAATGGTGAATATTACAGCAACTTATTGGGTCGATTCGATGAGGCATTGAAAGAAAAGCGACCAACACTTGGCCAAGAAAAAAGTCATTTTCCATCAGGACCATGCACGGGTGCACACATGTGCAGTTTCTATGGCAAAAACCATGATTTGGGCTACGAATTGCTCCCTCATCTGGCCTATTCTCCCGATCTAGCCCCGTGTGATTACTTCTTGTTCCCAAACTTAAAGAAATGGCTCGGTGGAAAGAGATTTGCGTCCAACGACGAAGTCATCTTACAAACAAATGCCTATTTTAAAGACCTCGACAAATCATACTTTTTGGAAGGGATAAAAAAATTGGGGAAACGTTGGGCTTAGTATATAGAGCTCAAAGGAGACTACGTTGAAACATAAAATAACATTTTATCAAAAAAAAGTGTTTCATTTAAAAAGTCACGGACTTATTGACCCGCCCTCGTAGTTAGATTTAAAAAAATTACGACGTCTCATCTTCTCTTTATGTACATTTAAGAAATAATGTCACAACACAGTATTTCCATATTTTACTAACAGCGTAGATACGTAATTGATGTGTGAGCTATGCTTTTTTTTGAAGGAAAAATCATCAAATCTCTCTTCTTCTCTCTCTCTCTGCTTCTCCCGCCCTATGTAGGACGGCAGGAAGTGTCAGACTCTTACTGACTAAATACCCCCTCGTTCCTTCTCCTCTCTATAGGCCGAGGCTGCGATGCCTCATTGCGCTTACCCCGATATATATAATATATATAGCTATACTAAAATTATGAACACATTGAAAATCTCCTAAGTTTTTTTTAAGTTGCTAAGCTAAGCTAAGCTTATAAGGTACACCTTCTAACTTTTTGGGTAATTGTTCTATGACTGAAAGAATATAGCCAATCCTTCTCGTACCGAAAAGTTATCTTGGCGTTCAAGGTTCTGACTCTTGGTGATTCTAGGTCTTTTATTTGGACAGGACTATCCGTACTTCCTAAGTTCCTTCCGGTGCGGTGGCCTCTAAGCTAAGGCCCCCAGCTAGTGCAACAGAATCTACTTATATTACAATTCTAGGTCGTCCTGGTTGCGGGCTTTATATCGACGAGTCTTTTGTGCGAGTTGTATATTCATGGTATGGTATTATACCTAAAATAAAATGAATAATAAAATAAATTTACCGGGGAATTGATTCCAGGTTTTGTTGGCACCAAAAAATTTTTTAAATTAGAATTCTAAATAGTTTTGTGACATTGAGATCGTTTTTAATTGACCATTACCTATATTATCTGTTCGTTATAACAACAACAGTAATCAATTTGCTCTTGAAATTATCATAAAATACGGGTAAAGTCAGCTGTTTAGTAATCAGTCAGCACAGATAACTCAAGGACATATAATTAATTTTAATATTTATTGCTTTGTCACTATTATGCTACATTAGGTAATTCATCTTTTTCAAAGACTAACTGAAAAGAACAAATAAATAAACAACAAAAATATTAGATTCTCATGGCGACAAACTGCCTTACAGTTTAACATTTAAATACTTGAATATGGGCCTCTAGCATGGCTTGAAACTAGTCGAGTAGGTATCTCGTCAAAGTTACTACGTGAGTAAGCCGAAAAAAAAAAATAATTAATTTAGAATGTCTCACGAAAGTTATAATAAAAATATTTAAATACTTAGTCAACATTTTATGGAGAAGAAGAATGAAATAAATATCCTTTTCATCATTATGTGCATTTTTAATTACAGAACATGCAATTGATTTCTGGGTACGACAGGCAAATGAAGTGGGCTTGCCTTACACCGTGTATGCTCCAGCCGGCAAGCCCATATTTGTGGCTACTCTGGAGGGCTCTGACCCCTCTCTACCAAGTATCATGCTCAACTCACATATGGACGTAGTTACAGTTGATGAGGTAAGTCAAAGAAATATATACCAACCTTTGAAACGTCCAAAAGAGCAAAGGCTAAAAAGTTGGCTTCGCGACGTCGCCGCGACGCGCCCGCTAATCATGATTACCTATCTAAGTCCCGTTGTGACTTGAGCTTTTCTCAGGTTAGAAAGGACCATATAAGGGATGATTTTGAGCATTGATCATTCGTACGACATTTTTTTTGTGAGGGGATAATCATAAATGACATCTCCCGCCCAAGGGCCGGGCGGTAGGGAGTTTCAGACTCTTACTGACTAAAAACCCCCGGCCGAGGTCGCGGTGCCTCATTGCGCTTACCCCGCAACCCCGACTGAACATCAGCTCTATAGGGCCCCATCTGTGGTGGTCTATTGGCTCTTTGAGGCGCGCGAGGAACGCTACGCGCTGTACGCTCGGGTCTGGTTCTGGTCGGGTGGCGAGTTGCCCTTACTCGCCGTCCGAAGACCTGCGCTTACGGTAGGTGGAGGTCGTCCCTTGATCCCCGACGCCCGTAATGTCGCCTGTTGCGGCGGCTTGGGCGTGAGGAGCAGGATTGCTACTTCACGCGGGCCGCCTCCCTCTTTGCAAGCATAACTGCTTCACAAAAGGAGGAGACGGCGTCCCAGTTCCTATCACTCCGCACCATGGCCTCGACTAAGGCCGGGCGAGAGAGGTCGAAGCTGATTCGTACTAAAACGAATGGAATACTACACTTATTAATCAAATTAGCTAGGTCCAGTTTTTGACCAGGTTTTGGTCCAGGACCAGTTTTTGTTAAAATTGTTATCAAAGTTTTCCCACTATGTTTTCCTTCATCGTGTGGTATAGTGGTTTCTTATATAACTTATCCTTAATGCTTGAGAAGCTCAAACAAAAATTAATTAATATTATAAAATGCATAACACAATTGAGTCTTGCTTAAGTTTCGCGATTTTATCTTCAATATTGCATATAAGCATATGAAGTCATTGCACTCTCTTGACGCATGTAACACATTTCTTATCCAAATTATAGTTTGTAATGACAAAATGTACTTTAATCAAATTGATATTGCAAATTGCAGTCTACATATATTTTATGATTTTCGTTTAGGGCAATTATCTTACAACACTTTTAAATGTTTAATTGAATGGTAACACAGAGATTTAAAAATGTAATTTAAAAAAGTTAATAAATTAAAAAAAATTAACCTTGTGCAGGAAGGTCGTGTTTTACGTAAAATTATGTAAGTGCAATACCCTGAGTACCTACTTAATACTCAAAATTTTTTTTATGCTTCAAGGTAAGATTTCACAAAAAGTTTCCTTCGCTAAATTACTAAGTAAGTTGACCTTTATTTTTCTTTTGAGCGGGGTAAATCATCTAGTGATTTTTCCTGCCCTGATTGTGGCGAAAGAGAGTGTCAGAATCTTACTGATTAATCACCACCGCGTTCCTTCTTGTGCTGTGAGAAGAGCCTTTGTTTTAGCAAAGGATAATTATAAGCTGGCATGATATATAGGTATATCTCATCTATTTAATCCCTTTTTATATATATACATATAGGTACGTTTATTACGGTATAGGTCAGCAAACGAGCGGACGGATTACCTGATGGACACCCGTAACATCAAAGGAGTTTCGAGTGCGCTGTCGACCTTTTAGGATTTGTCGATTTTGAGGATTTAGAGATTGGGAAAGAATTCAGGGAGAGGTAGGGATTGGGCCTCTCCGGTAACCTCACTCACACGGCGGAACATATCGCTATGGTTGTTTCACGTCAGTTTTCTGTGAGGTCGTGGTATTACTCCGGTCGAGCCTAAAACTACTACACCTAAAACTACTACCTTCCTTTATCTTTACTAAAGTACTCACATATATTTCCAATTTTTACAGACCGAGTGGATGTATCCGCCTTTCGCAGGATATATGGATGCAAATGGCGATATTTTTGGGCGTGGAACACAAGATACGAAGGACATAAGTATACAGTACCTGGAAGCTCTACGCAAATTTAAAAAGGATAACATTACTTTAGCGCGTACCATACATCTTACTGTTATGCCAGGTTGGTTTCAAAGTAAAATATTGCTCATATGTCCAGATTATTCAGCGTGCAAGCTTCTAAAAGAAAAACCAAGAGAAACAAAAATGCACAAAATTTTATAGTTCACAAAACCCCAAGCGAACGCCGGCGTTCGCACACATATTATTCTTTTATAGTATCTCGAATTACCACGATTGAAAGAATTGTCACTTGCCGCTACGTCACTAGGCTCTAGAGAAAGTGTAAAGCAAATATGTATTATCATTAAAAATACTTAGCCCACGTAATGCTAACGAAAAAATACCTAGGTGTTTCCAGTAATGTTTTGTGAAATGATGATGATACCTACATGATTCAAACTTAAATAAAGAATGCATTCTTTATTATCTTATCTGTGTTTTGTTTTATGACAAAAATGTAGTATAAAGTAGAAATGTAAATTGATCATTATTTTTATGAATAATTGTAAAGTGGTTAAGAATTAAATAAATACTAGTATATACCTACTTAAATAAGTGGACGAAGTGAGATTTTCATTTTTTGATTACAAGATGCGATAGCGTTTTTTTTTTGCAAATGCAAGAATAGGTCAAGGCATTAAGTACTTAGTTTTTAAGAAAGTGTAATGTTGGCTAAATTCGCGCTTCTTCAACTTCAATTTTGTGTCTGGACGTAGTCAGGATTAGAAAATAAAGTGACGATTTCAAATTATTCGATGAAAAAAAAAACATTTTCAGATGAGGAATCTGGTGGCAAGAATGGTATAAAGGCGTTTATCAAAACAAAACAATTTAAAGCATTGAACATTGGCTTCGCTTTGGACGAAGGCCTGGCATCTGGAGATGACACTATGATTGCTACATATGTGGATAGGAGACCTTGGCGTAAGTACTAGGATTATTTTGTTTTATAGTCTACTGAATTTCATTTGTTATGTGTAGAGGATGGTTTTCCATGCCAAGCTTGTGCACGCATCCCATGAAGTAAAACACAGTTTTACAGAATATTTGCATGGAACAACGCTTGTGTTCGGTGGCCAAGTTCGACGGCACTGTTGGTTGGCGCGGTTGCTGGGCAATTGGCTGCCGCGCAACATATCGCGGGCTCCGATATCTGCACGGAACAACTCGTTGTGTGATCCACAATTGTTGTTTCGGGTCTGGGTGTGATGCGTATGTAAAATTGGATGTTTGTAAATGCTGGGTGCATTTACAAACATCCAATTTTACAATTTCGATACACGAGAAAATCCTAGTATGAGGCAACGTACGTTAAAAGTACCTTTCCTCCACATTAATTGATCATATTTCCTCACATAAACAATTTCATGTTGTGTTAAACATGTTCATAATAGTTTCAATGTCGCGGCATGCTGCTCATGAATTGCCTCTAGCGTGGCTTGAAACTAGTCGAGCATCTCGTCAAATTATTACGTGAGTAAGCCGAAAACATAATAAATAATTTAGAATGTCTCACGAAAGTTATAATAAAAACAATTTCAGTTTCGTCGATAGAAGTTCAATTTAGTACCTATCATTAATATCGGATGAAAAGTACAATTTCAAATTATATAGCTCAGCTGGCTTATAAGATAAGGTAATAAACGCTGCACAACATGTTGCAGGATCAAAACACGACTCAGGGATAGGTATATCCCTTTTTTTAATACCTACTTAATTTAAGCCATGCTTCGGCACGAATGGGTCGGCTCGACCGGAGTGATACCACGGCCTTACAGAAAACCGGCGTGAACCAACCATAGCGTTGCGTTTCGTCATGTGAGTGAGGTTACCGGAGGCCCAATCCTTCCCCTCCCCAAATCCTTCTCCAATCCCTAAATCTCCCAAATTGCTAATCCCCAAAAGGTCGGCAACGCACTCGTAATTCCCCTGTTGTTGCGGGTGTCCGTGGATGGCGCTGATTGCTTGTCATCAGGGCCCCGAGTCTACTGTTTTCAAAGTTGTCATTCCTACACAATTCCATTTTCATTTTGCTAAAAGTTCGTAATCTGTTAATTCAAAATGACTGGTCATTGGCGTTCCGCGATGTCGTAATATAATTGTAGTACGAGATAATTATCTTGTAAAGAATTATAAACAATAACTGCACATTAATATTCTAAACGTAAATCATTGAATAAAGGAACTGTCAGTTTTTTATTAATTTACCGCATTATGTGAAATATTCATTTGTCACTGTGTACGAGATTACCGTTCTAAAGAATTATTTCAATGAAGTGGCATTGGGAGGTCATATCTATTATGATGCTATCGTGTTAGTAGATTACCAAAACTTGTCAAAGTCAACAATTTTGCAACCAATGATCTACTATTCTGAAACTATTATAATAGCAGACTCGAGGCCCAGGTAATCCGTAGGCTTGTTTGCCGACTAATCACATAAAAAAACTTAAATAATAATGTGTTAATTTTACAGAGATGAGGTTCACAGTCCATGGTCAAGGCGGTCATGGTTCTTCAATAGCCGAAGAAACAGCTGCTGAAAAGGTGAGTGGTAAACAGAAAATATTATTTATTAATGTATATACTTAAACATGGTCGTAAATATACAGCTTTCTTTCAAATTTAGACTGTACAGTTGACGCGGTAGCTGGGGAACCCGATGTAGTGCATGGTTCCTGCATAGAACACTTTTTGTGAGATCCACAAACTGTTGTTTTGGGTTTGGGTATGGATGTATGTGAAATACGGTAGTTTCCAACTAGCCAAATTTACTTTTATTCAAATGTCAAAAACGATACTTTTCTTTGAAAGTATGAAACACTGAGTTATGACGTCATAGATAAATTTGCTAAAAAATATCTAAAATTCAGAGTATCGATCGATCGATGAATAAAAGTTTAGTTATTTTTCAATATTACATTTTATTGAAATGTCGAATTAATTTATTTTTGACCTAGGAAACTAGTCAATTATATGTTCGTAAAAACGCACCCACGACACATGACATAACCCTAGTGTGGGGATACATTAAACAACTTATGGCGTTTTTTTAATATTTAGTTCTATAAATTACTTTCATTCGTTACAGCTTTACAAATTAACGGATACTATAATGGCGTACAGAGAAATCCAGAAAGACATTATGAGGGCGAAGAATGCTACCGATTACAGTGGGTTCAACAGCATCAATATTAATATGTTTGACGTAAGTATCAAGTACCACAGACACAAAAAGTAACGTCATATTTTTATCATATAGGTACGGTTTCTAGTTTTACTTCATCATTATTTACTTTTCTAATACAATTAAGAACCTTAACGTAAAAAACATAGAATTTACAATAGTTTAAGTAAACACTTGAGATTATGTACGTTCCACTTCATAAAGATGTTATGATTGTGAAAGCAGCCTGAATTACCAATCGTAAACTAGACCATGTCATGATTAGATAGATCTATCTATGAATTTGACAAGGCCAACCTAGAGAATTCGAATCAATCCGAAGCACCAATGTGACCTTTTCCTAGTTATATGGACCTACTACTTTCTATGATTATTTAGACACCACCGACATAATATATCTATGGTGAAAGAAAACATCACGAGGAAACCTGGACTTATAATTTTTCTAATGATAAGTTCGCCAATCCGCCTTGAGCAAGCGTGGTGATTAATGCTGAAACCTCCTCCGTCTCAAGAAGCCATTGCTCAGCAGGGAGCACTTATAGGCTGGTGATGACGAACCTAGAGATTTTTTTTGTTTTCTCGTTCAGATAGTCCTGTGTAGTAATAGTCTAGTGGCTAGGACGCATCCCCCTATATCACAGAACACAATCCTTACAATCCTTAGGGTTGAGTGTCTCGTGACACAGGATATTACACATTACGCTTTTAACTATAATGTTTAATATCGCGTGACGACGAGTCCCGGAGTCATTAAGACGTCTTTTGTTTTGTTGTTCAAATTAGTAAAAAATCTTTGAGACAGATTTTTATTCGTAGGTAAACTCTCTACCTATTTTATACGTGTTTTTTAGAATAACTATCTATCTCTATGCCAGATTTAATTCAGATTAATTCAGTAGTTTTGACGTATAAGCATAACAAACATCCATCTACATAAACTTTAGATACCTCCTTAGATATTGTTAATATATATTTCGTTCTTACAGGGTGGACAAGCTCCAAACATAATACCTTCGAAATTGTCACTCGTTGTCGACATGAGGCTGGCTCCCGAAGCTGATGCTGACGAAATCCAAGCTTTAGTAAGTTTTTTTTAGTAGGTTAGTTTAGGGGTTATTGAGGGTTATTGCTTTTGTCGCTAAATGTCGAAGTGGCCCAGTTCTCATGCATGAGGGTGTGGTTTCGAAACCTGGCAAGTACCAATGTGACTTTTTCCGAGCTATATATACTTTCTATGATTATTTAGACACCACTGACATACGGTGAAAGTAAACATCGTGAGGAAACCTGGACTTTTAATTTTTAATTATATGTTTGAAATCGCCAACCCACATTGAGCAAGCGTGGTGATTAATGCTCTAACCTTCTCCGTATGAGAAGAGGCCTTTGTTTAGCAGTGAGGACTTATAGGCTGATGATGATGATGATTTATTTTACTAACATATAGTTCGGAATACGTCTTTTGTTCCATAGAGAATGTTGAATTTCTTATACTATCAAGCCTTTAGGCATTAAATTTTTGGAGATATAGCGATTCTAATACCAGTACCTTACGATACAATAGCGCCATCTATAGTGTAGTGAGCAAATTAATATCAGCCTGATAGTTTAAATTCACAAATCGCTTAGCATAAGTGCTGCTTCTGTTGTACTGGTTTTGAACAACTGAACTACACAGCTAACTTAACAGTTTTTAATACGCTCCCTAGATGGCGCTACAACAACTGTAAGTGAATAAAAAACGGAGTGATAATGATAAGAACCTACATAATTTATTTTATGGTCCTCAAATTGATAATGCTTAAATAAAATAATATGATAAATTCACTTAAAATATTTATAAATGGAGTGACATTCATTTATCTTACATAAAATGAAATACCAAACTAGGGTCCCTAATACATATAATGTATATTACCTACCTATGATTTTATGATAATATATTAATGTTTATTTCAGGTGGACTCGTGGTTGCGGGAGACTGGTAACGGTACTGAGTTGTCGTACATCCGTCACGAGAAAGTGTCGCTGCCTACTGTTTTAGACGACTCTAACCAATATTGGGTTACATTAAGGAATACGTTAAACAATATGTAAGATGAAAATCTAAATTTAATTTTATAAATTCTAAATATCAAATAACTTTGTACCTATACTAAAGATCTTGTTTTACACTGCCCGGAGTGGTCGGACCGTCAGACATGTACCTAGGTACCTAATGAGAGTTACCGTAAGTGCAGGTCGCTTCTAAGACCACCACAGATTGGGCCAAACATAGCCAATGCTTAGCCTAGGTTAAGCGCAGTAAGGAACTGTGGCCTCGACCTCGATCAGAAAAAGAAACGCGGAGATTTTAGTCAGTAAGAGTGTTACACTCCCTCTCACCATAACATGTGAAAGAGAAGTCATTTGATGATTTTCCCTCCACGAAAAAAGGTACCTAATGGGAGGTAAATGTTCAAGGCACTACAGGAACAAATTTAAAAAAGGAATAATATAAAAATGCTGGCCTCGACCCGAGGATTTAACCGAGACTATAGTTCTTCAACCACTACCAAGGACAGCAAAATAATGTTTTCTATTGTTGTACATTTTTAAATTGTTTCAGGGGTATCACAGTTAGATCGATGGTGTGTCCAGCGACGTCTGACATCATGAATCTCCGAAACCTCGGCATACCAGCCCTAGGTTTCACGGCGAAGTCCAACACAATATCAAGGATACACGCCAAGAACGAATATATTAACGTAGAGACTTTCCTCAGAGGCATCGAAATATACACTGAACTAATAAAGAATTTAGGAAACTTAATCAACTCTTGATAATACGTTACTGTGATTGGTATTTATAAAAAAATAGTCATAGAATAATTGTAGGAAAATTAATAAAACAATTGATAAATTAAAACTGATTGTATTATTTTAAAGGATACTTTAATGACTGCAATTAAGTGAAAGCATTGGAAGCAGATATTATAACATACCTAATAATATTTTTTGGGTTAATAAATAAGGACAAAATCAGAATACAGGACAAAGTTGAATGCACCATAGTAATCGGCAATGAGATCGAAAGAAAGATAAGATCGTATTTTGATTAAGACTGCAATACCAATATTTACAATACCTAATTAAAAATATACTTCAACAGCATTTGACCTAGATAACTTAGTTATAATTTACTAGCTAATCTCGAGCGGTTTTATCCGCTGCTATTAAATCGCAGCGTGATGTTTTATAGCCTTTAGCATTCAGGAACATTGTAGCTGTCTATCAGTGAAAGAATTTTGACAATTCGACCAGCCGTTCCAAAGATTACCCCCTACATACAAACTTACAAAATTTACCTCTTTATAACATTAAGTATAGATTACAAAATTATAAAAGATGAAATAATGTTAAGTTTTAGGAAACCTGATTTTACAAGAGTTCACTATGCTTCGGCACGAGTGGGTCGGTTCGACCGGAGTGATGACACGGCCACAGAAAACCGGCGTGAAACCAGCACCGTGTTGCGTTTCACTGTGAGAGTGAGGTGACCGAAGGCCCAATCCTTCCCCTCCCCCAATCTCTCCCCAATCCCAAAAATCTCCAAATCCCCAAAAGTTTTACAACACACTCGGAACTCCTCTGTTGTCGCGGGTGTCCATAGGCGGCGCTGCTTGCTTATCATCAGGTAATACATTTACTCATTTGCCGTTCTATCACAAAAAAAATAGAACAGAATTGCAGGAATTTTTGTATAACAAAGTCCGGTCAGTCAACCTGGCACAGTTCTACGTACCGTGAAGGTGAGTTCATCAGTTAAATACAACGTTTATCAAACATTCTAAATAATAGTAACCTTGAGTAACATTTTTATAATGCACTTGAATAAATTATCTACCTACCTAAATTTTATAAAATGGATTATTTAATACTAAAATGATTAAAGTAAACAACACGTCGTTTACATATTTATTTTCGTGCCAGTTATAACCGACTAGCTACTCTCGCGCGGTCCCTGCTCGGCTCAATTTGATCGTAGCGTGATATTTTATAGCACTCAGGAACATTGTAGCTATCTAACAGTGGATGAATTTTGGCAATCCCACCAGGCAGCGGTTCCAAAGATTAACCCTATATACAACCTTACAAATTTTATCTCTTTATAATATTAGTATAGACAAAGATAATGGGCCAGTTTTTTGGTCATCTGTAGCCGACACCGTGGCGATCAAAAGGAAAGAGTAGGATCCGTAATTGGCATTAGTTACGCCAATTAAGATTTAGAATATCGCTTGTGTCAATTGTTTTTCGTAACTTCAATGCAACACCAATGAAGTGAACACAGCTCCTATAACTGTTCAATCAACCAGTTAAATTTTATTATGACTATTGTTATACATATTATTATGCGACTTTATTCTAGTTCGTAGCAAGTTGTTGCCATGTAGCGCAGAGCTCGAAATTTTCTTGCTACGTCAAATACTTGTTGGAGAGCTCGAATGGGTCCGCTCGACCGGATTGATACCAAGCCCTTAAAGAAAACCAGCCTGTTACAAACTCGGCGTTATGTTTCGCCTAGTGAGTGAGATTACGACAGGCCCAATCCCTGCTCCTCCTCCATTTCCTTCCTAATACTTACATATCCGAAACCCTTATCTCCCCTAAAAGTCCGGCAACGCACTCGTAACTCCTTTGGTCTTGCGGGTGTCCATGGGCGGCGCCGATTGCTTACCATCGGGCAATCCGCAAAAAAAAACCTATGGAAATTCGGAGTGCAGTGCAGTTTTCTCTAAACGTCGTGTCGTAGATAGAACAAAAGTTTATGTCGAACAAGTAATTACAAGACCAGACAACATAATTACCTAAACTCGTTAAATAAACAAATAAAATAAAAATAGTCAACTTACGATAACTATAATATAACTCTAAAGTACCGTGAAATAATATACATTTTTACGTATTGTTATTTAAATTCAAACATAATGCTGTATAATTTAGTTACAGACCTTCAAATAATAATATATACTTATCAAAAACACATTTATTTAACGAAGTGTTTTCTTTCTGAATGGATACCTTAATGCTACGTACTTTGATATTTAAACAAGTGAAAGACGATTTAGTAAAAATTTAAATAAAGAATTGACCTAACATTATGAATGTTTAAAAAAAATTGGGACCTTTTAAACGTGACCTGAAGTGACTATACCTAAGCAAATGTAATAGAGGATTCTCTGAATACCCTCTAGCTAGAAGTCTAGTCTTAAATCCTGCAGCGTCAAGGTGGCTGATAGTGGTAAGAATCGGACGGCTGAAATAGAGTTTCATCATCATCATCAACCTATAAGTGTCCACTGCTGAGCAAAGACCTCTTCTCATACGGAGAAGGTTAGAGCATCAATCACCACGCTTGCTCAATGCGGGTTGGCGATTTCAAACTTATAGCTAATTAGAAATTATAAGTCCAGGTTTCCTCACGCTGTTTACCTTCACCGTATGTCAGTGGTGTATATAGGTAAATAAAAAGTACATATAACTCGGAAAAAGTCACATCGGTACTTACCAGGTTTCGAACCCACACCCTCATGCATGAGAAGCGGGCTCCTTATCCTCCGGGCCACAACGACAAATAGAATTTATTGGTGTAGAATTGTACATTTGGCCTTATTGTCCAGCAGCACATAGGGTTCTCCAAGATAGACAAAAATAGACTGATTATCATATTTATGATGGATCTAATGCTCCAAGTCGAAGTATGGTTCATTTTTACACCAAAACCGAGTACTTAGTTCATAATATATACAATCCTTTTTTTAATGGTCTATAATAAGAAAGCTAAGTCGTTTGAAATCAATGCAGGACGATGAAAAGCGGGAATTTAAAAAAAATAAAAAATATTCAAATCATTGTTACCTCGTATTTCTACAATAAATACTTATCATTGTCGTATATCAAAAACAATAAATAAATGATAACATTGATATCGATAAAAGACAGTAAAATATTTTACCAGATAAACTTGTTATCTGATTTCCAAGATAAATGACTGTGGATTTGACGTTTCGCATCTGTTTCTTAGGTGATGAAGGAAATATCTACTATGAACTGATAAAGGCAAGTATCTACCTTATTTAAGTACTTTGCAGGAAAGTGAAAAACAGTTACATAAACATAATTTGTCATTGTGCAACTACATAGGATTCAACAAATCAATCACGTAAGTAATTATCCATTAGATACATTATAAGATTTTATTGATAAAACAAAAATAAAAAAACCCTTGAGGTAGATACGATAGTACACAGGCTATTTACCTATAAAGCTCACTAGGTGGCGCTCTTGTTGTTTCTTATGATGAAAGAGAACGATTTGTTTTTGCCCTTTTTCGCTAAGTATGAGTCAGTATACGATAGTTATTAATGTTATTATTCTGATAATCAAAGGCAGATACCATCATTAGATACGACCTTCAAACCTTCAAGAAACGAGCATATTCCTTCTTAAAAGGCCGGCAACGCAGCAGGCTCTGAACTGCAGGACTTATCGCCCCTCTCATTTTTTAGGGCGTCATGCGTAACCCCCTGATTAACCGCATCCGGTTGCAATGTGATCACTACAAATGCGGTTTTAGGGGCAAACATTGACGCCGCGTTTCTTCTTGCGCCGCTGCTGTTGTTGCTGCCGTTGTTCCTTCTTGCAGCACTTCCTCGCCTCCTTGGCGACCCATCTCGCCTCCCCACTTGCTTACGTGGACAGGCTAGGTACACGGTATACAAAGAATGATGTGGTTTTACAACCACAATAACGTTATACTGCAAGCAATTTAGATTTATAACGTGTTAGTTATAAAAACGTTATTTATGTTTTTATTGTTATTTGCTATAAATTTAAGTAGGTGTGATAAGATTTGACTGTTTCGGTGAACATAGGTCGTTTCTAACACTGTCTTTGGAACCCATAATCATTATGGCACGTCACGGCTACTCTTAAAAACAATCTGTAGATCCATAGATTTGTTTCTTAAAGTACATAATTTTAAGATATATTTGAATTTGTTGCCTGTTAGGTACTTACCTTTTTCATGGCACGTACCTATATTTCGTTTAAAGTATAATTTGTCATTATTGAGCCTAAAGTTATACAACAAAATCAATTAGTAGATACTCGATAAAAACAATACTTTACGATACGACTTTTTTGGTAATGTATGTAGTTAATAGCTATTGTTTCAACATCCGCAATGATAAAAAATACACGTTTGAATTTGCATGGTAGTAGATAGGTACCTAATGCCTATTCAAAAATACCATCAATATTTTCTACATGACTTACACTTTTTAGAAGCCGTCTTAAATCACATTGTATCGATTTGTAAAAGGTTGAAGTTTTTAGCTATGAATTTATAATATGTACCATAATAAGGTTTTATAGGCACATATAATTATTAAGATCACATCACTGACTGACTTTTTCCAAGCTAAGGGTTCTTATCACACGGAGAATATTTGCGTATTAATCGAGTTTTCGATTTCAAAAATTATATGGACTTGATTTTTTCGTTATAATGTAATGGTGAGGTGTCACCTTGACTGATTTTCAGTGTTGTTTAAATAAACACAAGAAGTATACAAAATCTCGAAAGATCACATTGGACTTTTTTTCGTTATTGCATAGATCGGTGAACTAACAGACGGATCATCTGATGTAAGGAATCGGCCGCCCAAAGACAATGGCAATACCAGGGAGAATACAAGTGCGTTGACGGCTTTTTGTGGGTTGTTAGAGATGGGGATAGTTAAAGGAGGCTTGGGACACCGGTAACCTCACTTAGGTAATTGCTCTCCAAATACTTAACTTGTTAGTTCACAATAATTAACTTTTTAGGCTTCGCACTCCCAGCCGGGACCCCGGCAGAGTAGTAGAAGGAACGGGGAGTTTTAGTCAGTAAGAGTCTGACACTCTCTCCTGCCCGATACTGGGCGAGAGAAGTCATTTAATGATTTTCCCCTCACAAAATAAGGTTTCGCACTCCGCACCTTTGTGTATGAGAACCAGGAGGCATACATAGTAATTATATCCATCATCTTACTAAGCTCGATCTTCAGTTTTCGTCGTCGACCACTACCGGTTAGGTACATTGCCGATATCGGCTTTATCTTTATAAACCATTTATAACAGGAAATAGCATAAAATATTAAGATTGAGAAGTAATGTGCCACCAGCGGTAGAATTAGGGAGGGGTTTGCGAACGTTATAATTAAAAGAGTTCAACGAAATATTTATTATTTATAACCATCGATATAGAACGATATGTTATCGGGCATTTTTTATTTAATGTCTGAAATCTGAAAATGAACAGAGTAATTTGCAAAGATCTGTCTGAATCGATATTTTTTAATTAATAACAAGGTGAACAAATTGAAAGTCAGGATTAAAGTACAATATCTAGGGTTCACCTTTTAGTAAGAATATTTCTTGGTCTTTCGAGATTATTAGTTGATGAGAGAGAACCTCATTTCTATTAAATGACTGACGAACAACCCACAGCTAAAAAAGATATACTAAAATATGATCTTCTAAAATAAAAACAGAAAAAAAACAGTGAATTACGAATCCGTCTCGCGCACCAATAAGTTCCGTACCAAAATCACATTTGTTAATGGAAGTCCCCTTAAATATATATTTTATATTGTATATGTTATGTCTAGCGGCAAGGCGAGTATAAATACATTATCTACAAAATTTTAACTAGCTAACTGTCATTGTTCATGGGATACAATCTGGTGATTGTACAGATAGGTGGTCGGACGGACAAAGGAGTCCTAGTAATATAGTTATTTTTATTCTTAGACTACGGAACCCTTAAATATTGATTACTCATGTTTGTATGAAGTGTAGCCAAAATATAAAATACTTATTGTAAAAAAAAGTATGTATTTTGTACCTATATTATATAAGTGCATGACAGATATGGAAAAGTACCTAAAATAAGGTTTTCATTATAAAGAAAAATAATCAAAATCAAATTTAATAGATAGCACTTACGAATAAAAACAAAAACAATACTTTTAACTCGATAGTATTAGTACCTATGATAGATTATAATGTAATTTACTCTAGATAAGATTTTAGGCACCTGCTACTGACCTCTAAATTTGATTGATCGGTGAATAACCCTAAAATACTAATTCGAATCGGCTGATTCGACCCTGTACTGCTGGTATAGAGATTTTACTATTACTATATCACCAGCATCAATAAAATTAAACCTAGATAAGCAGTACCAAATTGAAATGGTGCCCATTCTTTTGTGTGGGTGAGCAATGCTTTGGCTCAAATGGGCCGGTTCGACCTGAGTGATGTCACAGCCTTAATGTCGTGGTGGCCCGGACGTTTAAGCGCCCGCTTCTCATCCATGAGGGTATAAGGTCGAAAACTGGCAAGTACCAATGTGATTTTTTTCGAGTTATATGTACTTTCTATGATTATTTAGACACCACTCACATACGGTGAAGGTAAACATCGTGAGGAAACCTGGACTCATAATTTCTAATTACAAGTTTGAAATCGCCAACCCGCATTGAGCAAGTGTGGTGATTATTGCTCAAACCTTCTCCGTGTGAGACGAGGCCCTTGCTCAGCAGTGGACACTTACGGGCTGATGATGATGATGATGATGCCACAGCCTTGCCGAATACCGTTTCGTTTTTCGCTGTAAGAGTCACATTATCGAATTCCCAATAAGCCCCTTTCCCTAATATCCAATCCTGATATAAGTAGGCAACCTCTAAAAGGCCAGCAATTACTCGTAATTCATATGATATTGCGAGAACACATAATATACGTTTTTAAAGAAGATCAAACAAACAAATGACTTCACGTGTTGCCGGTTAGATGCCCAACGCTTGTGATCCAAAAAATATGTATGGATGACGAATGTCGCCGGTACGTCCTGCTGCGTATGACAAATTAATTTAAACGTAAGAAGAGGAAAGATCCTCACTAAAAAAAATACTAAATCGTGACGTCACAAGATTTAGTATGACGTCGACGATATCAATATAAGGTCGAAAGTAAAAAAAACAAAAAGTCGTCGTTTTATATCGGATACTTTAACTACGAACTACTTTTAAAACAATAGTAAAACAAAATATTTTATCTGATCTGATTTTCAAATATTTTAATCTAAGTCAATACTTATTATTATTTTTATCTTGGTAAAATTAATTAGCTACTTATACCTATTTATAGTACTTTTTGTGAGTCATTTAAGGTAAGGTTTTCGTTTATTTATTTTTCAAGGCTAAATTTGAACTTTTTCTCATTTATAACAAGCTGACCCGGTGCACGCCTCAAATATCAGCGAGGGTTGCGGGGTAAGCGCAATGAGGTACCGCGACCTCGGCACAGAGCAGGAGAAGGAACAGGGGGGTTTTTAGTCAGTAAGAGTCTGACACTCCCTCCTGCCCGGCCCTGGGCGGGAGAAGTCATTTGATGATTTTCCCCTCACGCCTCAAATATAACTATATTTTCTGACCTTTTAAACTTTCCCTGGACTTCAGCAAATATTTTAAGACCAAAACGGACCAGCTGTTTTCGAGTTTTGGCGAGACTGACGACCAGGAATTATTTTTTATATATAAGAGAGATTATCTATCCACTAATATTGTTCTAATTATCCTGACTATAAAAACGACTCCTCTTTAATTTAATGGTTTGGCTATCACGTAAGTTTTCGATTAACAAATGGTTGTTTTGATAATATACAAATTTTATAAAAAATCCTTACATCATGTCTTGATATCTTCTTACCCTAGTTAAATAGTTTCTAAAAATAATATAGGTACATATGTATATGAGTCTAAATAAAACCAAGTATCTAAGTTTTTTCATAAATAGTTTCTGCAAATGACTTCGTCCTTTATATCTTCTAGGGTTCAAAGTATTGTGGAAGAACACAGTGTCCTTCCAGGCCATAATTATTTATTACCCGACTGCCAAAGAAGGAGGGTAATGTTTTTCGAGTGTATGTAAGTATGTATGTATGTCTTTTCCTTTGTGACCTCCTGTAGCCTAAACGGCTTGATGGATTTTGATGTATGAGGTATCGTTAGATTTGTCTTGATTACGGGAGTGTCATAGGATACATTTTATCCTAAAAGTCCCACGGGATAAAGACATAATAATATTTTTTCTAAATTTCCCTTTAAAAAAATATGTATGCGGTATCATTAGATTCATTTCAATCACGGGAGTAATTAATATAGGATACGTTTTTTCTCAAAATTCCCACGGGAACATGTTAATTCTGCGTCAACGCATAAACGTTTGCGGGATCTTCAGCAGTAATGACTCACCTAATTCTTTTTCTTCTTCACTACCAACAGTCCAGATTGGCGGTAAATTTATGTTGCGGAGTAACATCACTCGTAATCTAAAGCCAAATGTCGTCGAAATAATTTAAAATGGTACTTACATATACATAGTCTTCTACATCTACAACGTTTTCGTTAAATAAAAACAGCTAAAAAGTTATAAATAAAAAAATTATTATTAAAAAAACAAAATACCCGACTGCACACTAAAAAAAGAGTAAAACAAGCCCCACAATACAAATTTACTGAATATAATTTATAAATGTTGATGGAAAGCATCGCAGGCGGGGACCACCTTGACCGCCACCAACGAAAATTCTGCTAAATGGTGCACAACAGAAATGACTATAAATAAGCCTCTGTTGGTCCCCGCCTGCGATGCTTTCCATCAACATTTATAAATTATATTCAGTAAATTTGTATTGTGGGGCTTGTTTTACTCTTTTTTTAGTGTGCAGTCGGGTATTTTGTTTTTTTAATAATAATTTTTTTCTCTCTAAAACTTATGCTTTTGCAACATAACTTAGTAGGATTTACTCACAGTCTAAAATAACTTATTTATATAAAATAATACATCTCACAATCTAAAGAAAATTCTAGTGTAACATTTTTTTAAATAATAATAATAAAACTATTATATAAAGTATGGGAGCAATTGTACACATAGTATAGATTGTACAAGGTACTGAAATTTCGTACAACGAGTAATTGCGCTTGACATGAAGCTAATCTGCAGACAAACAGACTCGTTTAGATCAGCCTCCGAGGCACAAATTGTATATAATGCGTTTATTTATAGTACTTTACTATAAATACGACATTCATTTATCTTTTAATGGTTAGTTTATGGTATTTGAAATCTTTGTTTTGTATAAATGTAAAGTCATAGTCAAATTAGACAGATAAAAATACTTACGAAGTCTGCCAGTCTGTCCGTCGATGAAGCTAGGTCTAGTACCTGGTATCATTTAATATGTAGTTTAGTTTTTTAGTTTATACAAAATAAAGATGCTCGTGAAGACGAGAGTAATAATCTCCATCGCTTTAAAAACATACTATAATAATACAAATTTATTTTATAGAAATGTACTAAAATGCAACTGCATTTATACATTCGATCAGTGATACTTAATGAAAGTAACTTTTATCTATTTAAAAAATATTTATTTATTTAATTACTTATTTTAATTTGTCCTAGCCTTTTTTCCTTATCTTTTAATGTATTTTATTCGTTGTCAAATTGATCGCTGCTAGCAGTGTAGCGATTCGACAAATTCGCAATAAATACCCAAGTGATAATGGCTTCTACAACAGTCTACTGTTGGTTGGGTAAGTAGATCATACTGTACGACAAACATTATAAAATAACAAAATTTAAATAATAAATTATAAATAAAAATACTAATTAGTAGTATAGTAGTAAGATACATATGTATATAGAAGTTCCAACGGTGACTAAGCACTATTTTAATGTTTGTTTCTTACTTGGTGAATATTTGGAAAATATTTTTTAACCTTAAATTCATATTCTTTTTATTTTAAAAGATAATATTTTTTTTCTTTTGCAAAAAATATGTCGAGCTCTCTCAGCTCTATGAGCCTTAATTTTATTTAAATTTCGAACTTATTTCTTTTGTTTGTCATTTTTAAGATACCTATCGTCGAAAATTCATAGTTTTTCTGTGCGAAAATTGAAAGTCGTTATAGGTATATTCGGCAGTGACCACGTCAACACTTTGTCCTTTCGTATATAGATTTCATAGTCCTAATAACCACACACAATTAAATATTACATATCTTATTGCATAAAAATAAACGGTTATAAAATTATGTAAAAAAGGGGCCATTTCGAAATTCGTGATTTGTATATTATTTACTCCAAAATGTTGTGTACCAAAAATGTGTTTGATTAGGTAGGTACCTTTTTCCGACATACATCATCTAATTCAAAAATTCTTCTTCTCAGAATAATGATGAACAAAATACTAGTCTTCATAGTCGTGGCACTGCTGCAGCTGCAGGTCAGCTTGGCTGCCTGCAAAAAAGCTGGTACAGCTGATTATTCCAACAGCAGTCCAGTAGAACTGCTCCAAGCCTACATACAGATCAACACTACAACTTACAACGATTTATGTAAGTTACTTTATTGGTCACTTTCTTTAAAACATTGTTATAAAAAAGTATAATAATATTTATTCTTTTTTTGAGAAATATATAATTAAATACTTATTCATTTTCGAAAAGCTTTAGAAAAATCAAATTCGTTATTAAATTAATAAAATCTGTTGCATATAAAAATGGTCGGTACAATCAATATTAATACATTCTTCTATTCCTAGCGGACGCAGTCGAATTCTGGAGAAAACTAGCTGCTTTAGCAGACGTTCCCATAAATGTCTACGAGATAGTGGAAGGCTTTCCCATCGTTGTACTAAAATGGGCAGGAACCGACAGTAGCCAACACAGCATTATGCTGAACTCACACATGGATGTCGTACCTGCAGCACTTGAGGTAAATATATATACATATTTCATACCAACATTGTTTATGTGCCATAGTTTTTATCCTGTACTAGCAACCCATCCTTACTTCGCACGGGTATTCAACACTCTGTATCAACGACCCGATATTTCAATACCACTTTTCTAAAAAAAACCTTCATAAAAACCTTATCCTGAATGTAACAAAGACAACAATAAGAGAATTAGCAAAAAATGGTTAACGCGCTCTTGAGTTTTGCGCTTACCAGCACATTTTGCAATTCTTTTTTATATAATAAAATTAAAATTAAGATTATTGAACTGACAAACTTCAAAGCCCTACCGTCTACGTTTCTTTAATTTTCATCAGATACATGATCTAATCAGAAAAAACGGCCACTTTAGTATTTCTGCCAGAAACTCAGCATATCTACCATATTAAGTACCTATGGGATCAAAAACAAAAATCATGAAAATCTATCCTTTAGTAAAATCTACAGTAAAAAGATATCTGTTAAATTGCATATAAACTTCACTTTGTTTCTTAGAAGAAAATATAATGTAAGCTATTTATGAGGCATCGATAGACTTTTAGGTACTTAAAAAAGAAAAAAAAGTACCTACTAAAAGAATTTTATCAAGTCACAATACACACTCACAGTACCCATAATCAATTTATTCGTTACAAAAGCAATTTATGTTGTTAGGTATTTGAATTATCTACAAGTAGAATATTGTACCGACATTTGTTAGGCAAGTAGTAAATTATACTACATTATTAATGCCTATCAGATTAGAGATATGTAGATAAGTTTAAATATATGGCGGTAGATATAAGTAATATATATCTTTGTGTAGGACTACGTATGCACTTTTTTCACTTTATGATATAACTAGCCACTCTTCGCGCCCATTTAATCTTAGCGTGATGTTTTATAGCCTATAGGGACATTGTACCTATCTATCAGTCAAAGAATTTTGGCAATCCGACCAGCGGTTCCAATGATTACCCCCTACATACAAACTTACAAATTTTACCTCTTTATGATATAAGTATATAATAACCGTCAATGGCTTATAGGACTAAAAGATCATGTCACATGTTAGAGTATCTCTGGCTAAAATTAAAGAAGGTTAGACATCCAGCAGAAAAACTCTTTGAACCATTAATAATTTCTAAGAATCAATCAGTAAAAAACTGTCTTAGATATCTGTACGGCAGTTCGGTACCTACCTGTATAAAATCGATAAAAAGTGATTAGCATCTAAACTGACCTTAATTTAATTTTTGCTTTACCTTAGCCCTGTTCTAATCGGGCATCGTCTGACTGCAATCACATCCATCGACTGCAGTTGCATAGATAATTAGGTCCATCAATGTGAAGATCAGGAGATTCAAGGTTATATTAAAGAGCTGATAGCAAATAGCTTCACTAGAGGACAGACGGACAGACTGACACGCATAAATTTTAACCTATTGAAATATGTGTGTTTTCTTTTTTCTTTTTTTCTTGACGTTCAAAAGTTCCCACTGTGGCCTAATTGAAAGAAATTATTTTTGACTTTTAGACTTTGGTAGAAGAAAAATAGTGTGTGGCACGATCATATCCGTGGGGTGTGTGTGTCAGAGAAAGGAAAAATATAGGACAAGATAAAGCTAAAATACACACAACAAACATACATACAATATTTATTTTAATTGTTGATTATAATTTGTTCTTATACCCATTCTTTCCTTACTTACACAAAGCTCCGTTCCAGTATTAAGAGCACGATTAAATTTTCCAATTTCTTACAGGATGGATGGACTTACGACCCATTTTCTGGCCATATTGATGAGAACAATTTTATCTACGGCCGAGGGACGCAGGATATGAAATCTGTGTCAATACAGTACTACACAGCTTTACGCAGATTGAAAGAAAATAATGTCACGTTACTCAGAGACGTGTACATGACGCTTATGCCTGGTAAATATTTATTCACGTTGTCTTTACATACCTACTATGAATGTATTAATAAAATTAAGAACCAAACCTCTATACTGGTAGAAACAAGTTAATGTTGTATTTCGCTAGGAATTTGGTGCTGCCGGAGGCCCAATGCTTCAATACTCGACCCTCCATCCCCTTTCATTCTCAATCCCCGAATCTCTAACACCCAAAAAGCTGGCGACTCATTTGCACTCTTCAAAACTCTTTGAATTTTCTGGAGACCCGCGATATGGCATGCAATTGCTTACTAACAGTTTCTCTGCTCATTTGCCGACCTTATCAAATATAAAAATAAAGCTAGTAAAATCAGACAATATTCACAAACAACATAATATATTGTACTGTAATGCACGGTGCTTAGAGTTTTTTTTTTATTTGAACAGTTTAGGGACTTTCGACGGATTTTCTATAATTCACAATAAACAATTATCTTTAAAATCACTAATTAATTTAAGTTAAAAACCCACCGATAGTGAGATTACAGAGCCATCAAGTATGTTATCTATGTCAATTGGATTTCTACTTGATCAAAATACTGAAAATACAGATCAAACACTATCTCTAGACTATCCTTACATAATGACTCACTGCATTGTTTTATCTTTACACGTGATTTAATTATAGTCTGCGTTTTGTATGTTCTGATTATTATGTTACTACTTTACTATCACCGGATTAAATATTACACATGTCTACTATAACCGGATTCCTTCGACATGTATTGTGTGTAAATATCTAATTTGCCACCTGGTAGAAATATTAATTTTGACCCTATAAATTTTTATGTTAGTACTTCAAACATTATTTCAGCTACATGCTCTATAGATATAGAAGTCTTACAAATATTCTATTTATGTCTTCACATTTTAATAAATATTTCTATTTTTCATTTAGATGAAGAAGTTGGTGCTGAAGCCGGTATGATCCCTTTCCTCCAGAGCAAAGAATTTGCAGCAATGAATGTTGGAATTGAATTAGATGAAGGCAGCTCATTCCCATTGCCTGTCATTGCAGTCTTCTATCAAGACAAGGTCGTTTGGCGTAAGTAAATTATTATTAAACAACTACTTATATTATGTTGATACTAGCTCTTTTTTTTTGTTTCACCTCTCTGCTGAAAGACTGATTATTTAAATAAGACAGCCACTTCTTAAGTTAGGTATGGCTACACAAACAGTCGTACAATAAAAATCTAATACTTAGAATTTATTGAACTGAACGAATATGTTTTAAATTTTGCGTTTTCACGCAGATGGTCATTTTTACTATATAGGCATTTGTGATCATAAATGACACGTGTATTTAATACATACGGTACCCATGAATAATTCTGATATTAAAAGACAGGTGTGCAAAGAGGAATTTGGACCAGCCTCCTGTGAAAATATTGACAATATAACATTCGTCATTGTGAAAAGTACTTTGTTGAAACAGATGTATAGATAATACGTTTAATAACACTCTTTTATTTGTAACAATGTTCCAAGATTATTAATGAGTTGTTTGGTTTAGGAATTGTATTAACATTTCTAAACAAACATGATTGCTGATTCGTTTTTATAAGAACTACAGCCTACGTCGAAAATAAGACAATGACGACCTATAAAGACAACTAATTATTCCTGTACTAATTGCAAATGTTTTGTTACAGAAATAAAAGTTGACTGCCACGGTGTATCTGCTCATGGATCCACTTTCCCAGCAACTAACGACACGGCTACTGGAAAGGTAATAGATATACTCTATAATTAATTAACAATAGTTTAATTTCTTTGGGTAAATAAATACATGTAGAATTTTAAACAACAGTGCACTACATATTTCCAACTAATTTCTCTCGTACGACATTCAAATAGAATAAAAATGTCTTTTTTGAACGGCTACAGGTACATATGTTTTATAATATATGTATGCGCAGTATTAAAAACAAATCGTCTCTTTCAGTGCCGCAATGTGATGAACAAATTCTTCGAATTCAGAGACGAACAGTACGAATTGGCTAAGGTTGCACCTCCCAACGACGCTGGCGGTTACACGTCTATTAATATTAACAAAATTAATGTGAGTACTGAAAATAAATATAGATACATTTACTGTACATACTACTCCTCCTTCATTCATCTATTTCACCAACAGAAACTTCATATTTAGTTAAGCAGGCTAAACATACGCGTCAGAAAAAAATAGCTTTGCTCTGAATAAATACTTATACGAACCATGTTTTTCTTTCCAAACAGGGTGGAACAGCTAACAACGTGATTCCAAGCCTTATCAGTCTCACGATCGACATACGTTTGGGAACGACTGTCAACGAAGTACAAATGGATGCAAAGGTAAAATAATAATACTTTGGACATAATAATATCGCACGATATTAGCCCTTCAGCCGGGGTTGCGGGGTAAGCGCAATGAGGCACCGCGACCTCGGCACAGAACAGGAGAAGGAACAGGGGGGTTTTTAGTCAGTAAGAGTCTGACACTCCTTCCTGCCCGGCCCTGGGCGGGAGAAGTCATTTGATGATTTTCCCCTCACAAAAAAAAAAAAAGCCCTTGGCCTCATTTTTCAATAGTGACTCTAACTCGTCAATTATTTTTACCAGATTCGTCAGATAATTGCGGAATCAGGATCAAACATAACATTCTCGTACATTCTGAAGAACCCTCAGTCTCCAGCTACCATCGTGAACGCGTCAAACCCTTACTGGAATGCTGTAAATAAAGCTGCAGATGAACTGTAAGTTTGTGTTTTAGCCAGAATTTTAAGATGATAATAATAATGAGATGGTTGAAATTGGGTGTGCATTTTTGCAAAATTAAGCTTTTGACTCCCGAAAGAAAACTATTCAAGCTAAATCCTTCGCTACTGTAAGTTACGTGACCTACGTGGCGCTTAATTTGTTAAGAACTAAAAATAGAAAAAGTCGAAAGGATACACCCTAGACATATCATTAGGACATACATACTTCATGAATTTGAATCTTAACAACGTTTAATCCATTGTTTTAATTTAAAAAAAAATGTTGTTTGTTTAACAGCGGCGTTGGATTATTGGCGACGATACCACCTGGCTCAACGGACGCTCGGCACGTCAGAAATGCTGGTTACCCAGCTTTAGGCTTATCTCCTATGCCGAACACTGAACTACTCCTGCATTCAGTCAACGAGAGGCTGGGCGTTACAACCTTCTTGAACGGAATCGATCTATACGAAAAAATTATTTACTACTTGGCTACTATCCCTGCAGAGGACACAGCTGAAGATGGCACAGAGTATCTTAAAGTGACTGCTAGATAAAACAACCGAGAATAAATATAGCTTTACCTTATTTGTTGTAAATATATTAAGTATTATGTTTTGTTAAATTGTTTATTTCTTAGAAAATATTAGATGAGCGTGAGATCTATTTGTTAATTGTTAATAATTAAACTTGTAAGTTTAAGTTATTTTATTGTTTAAATAACACATTGAAGCATAAAACAATGACTTTGATTTTTCATCACTACATTTTTAACTCACTTTATAGGAATTTACGAGATTCTGTAACACAGAAGACAAGATAGGGCTATTCCTTAAATTTAAAACAAATAGATTTCTGATTGAACAAGTTGATAACATAATATAAATTGCAGGCCAGATTATAGTGCCTACGATACACCTACGACTATCAGAGCCACGGTAAAATGTAAAAAATGAGAATAGAACATTTAACGCAAATAAATATGGCAAAAGAAAGTATTTTTATATATTTTTTTTTACTGGAGGGGTGGAAATTATCTAATACCTTCTCCAGACGTGGGTGAATCGAGAGAGAGCTTTCGATTCGTGGTAATTAACTAACTGAGATGGGCTGCATTATCTCATTGCGCTTGGTGCGCAACTCCAGCTCGGCATCATCGGTCCCAATAGGTCTGTAGTTGTTTGATAGGTCTTTGAGTGTAACCTTATACCAAATCTATAGTAAACCATCGTTTTCAAGAGCTTAAAATTAACTTAATTCTGCAGTCTAATCTTCAAATCCAATAATGTTGACACTATAATATTTTGGTTGAATTTGATTTATAGTCAATTTATCAAGATAAATATATAATAATTTAGTTCAAATTATAAAACAACAACACTGTATTCTTCAAATTCTATTTTTTTAAACAGCGTATTTTCGTACCTTTCTTAGTAATTGGTGCATGAAATGAAAAAAAGTGTTTTTAATATTTTTTTATATAGAGAGTTCAAAGTATTTGTATTCTACGATTTGAGACTTCTATCTTAATGTAAATCGATTGATAGTAGAGTTAATGCTTTAAATATTAATTAGAATTAAGTACCTACATCTCTGATTGTTGTTGCCAGTCAAAAAAGGGTTGAACAAAATTAATCGACCTAAATAATCTGTATACTCTTGTTCCAATGTAGGATGCGGAACAAAAAATAGAGCCAAAATTATCAAAATCTTTATCAAGGACAAAGACGTCAGATCTGATTTCTTGCAGCAGCAATTTTAGTGGATTTTTAAGGGACACAATTATTTTTATAATAACTATCGTGAGGCATACACGTGTAAATATTGAGAAAAGCTCTACTAGAGTAGGCTGCGCGATGTCGCCGCGTCCGCGGACGCTGCTCATGAGGAAGAACCCCTCTGTGGTTCGAAACTAGTAGAGCTTTTCTCAATATTTACACGTGAGTAACCCGCGATTTTTAGTTGATACAATTATTGGTCAAATTATTTGCCTGAAACCCAACTCGTAGGTTCTGGCCGAGTCGAAGGACAAGTATGGTTGTTTCAATCATTTCATCACACACACTTCTAAACATTGGTTATGTTAATTTTTGGAATACTTTAAACTGTGTGATTTAAGAAGTCTTATGGAATTTATCGACGATACGTGATTGTATAATGATTCAAAATAAAAGGCAGGATCAAGTGACTACACTAGTTTAGTCTGTTTTAAAATATTAGTATTGAGATCGAATCTTCAACAACGATAGGTTGATATGTAAAGCTACAACAAAATTTCAGCTTAGTAGATTTCAGGGTAAAATTACGAATAAACCTTTATTTTCTTTTTGATTTAATAATATTATGTTCTCATGCTTACTATAATGTTATAATGCATGAACAAACATCAATGGGCTATGTGGGCTTACCTCGTCGCCACGCAATGTCTAAATGCGGTATCATGGGAGATTGTGAGTGAGCAATTAGGTACAAAGGCGGTTCAACGATACATTCCACTGGAAATGATGACTGATAATAAAATATTTACCTCAACAATGCAGTCGACAAAGCAAATCGTATCGATTTTGATAACCTCTTTTTGAAATAGGAACATTCAAAAAAAGATTGTTGTATTTTTGTTTTGATTAAAATCAATTTTTGTAATTGAGATCGTATCAGAACTTGACTGATATTTAATTAATTTTAGGTCATTGTAAGATATATGCATGATACGGACCTAAATTTGAGACCTTTTGAGATCATAAGATAAAAAAATATACATAAAGATAGATGCACAACGTAACAATCATTAATAATAATGATCAATTAGTATCAGTATAATTTAACATTTAAACCATCCAGGCGTATAACTAACTCTATGAGTCTCCAGCACCGCTCTGTTTCCTCGTTTGCAGCTAAATCTTTAAACCAACAATCACCACTTCAGAGTAATGGGTGCCTTCCCACCCGTACGTGCCGCAACATTTTTAAAAGGACTTTTTCGCGAGCCGCCGCGCCACCGTTTTCTGTTTGCGCACCATCGCGCGTCGTCGCTCTGCCACGGATTTCGCAATTGTCACGCTTTTAGCGAACAAATGAATTCTCACCAATGATCGGGATTCACTGTGTAAACCGTTTAGCGCACGATTGATCATTTTTATTTCTTTGTCTTTTTATTTTTGTGAAAATCACGACGGAGGGAGCCAATGGAAAGTTAAATACATTTATGGTAAACATTTCGCTTGTTGCTCATCAGATAGAATATTATATGCTGTGAATTTGTATGAACTTTGTTTTGCACTTACCTACTATACATAGAATAAGTACTCTAGAACAATTTAAATTCACAATATTATCGCTGAATAGAGGTGTAACGTTTTATAATTATGAATGTTATATGAGGGTGGACCGCTATGGGCGCAGTGAGCGTTAATTGAAATGAATTGTCGCGACTGGATGTAGCCGGCACATAAATCAGAGCGCCCGGGGCCACCAGCTAAGTGCCTGCTACGAGCGCGCTACGCCGTAGCAACCGATAGACGCGCCGCAAACCGAACTACGCGGTACAACTTTTTATTAGTTTTTGTTTTAACAAGTTCTTTTATGTTTTAAATGTATGTGCAATAGAAATGTAACTTGTATAGTAATCCATATACAACGCTGATATGTTATGTAACCTTTCCGGTTTTATATTTCCATTCTACTAGCTCTACCAGCAAATTATGTTACTTATAAAATTATAGCAATGTAGAAGGACCGATGAGACAAGTCTGAACGCTTCTATATACATCATTAGAGTATGCCGCTCTAAGAGACATCGCGAGACGAATTAATTCAGCCAAATACGGCGAACGGTGAAAAGGGCGCGATTTTTACTGGTAGTGCTCATTTGTCACCTCCACCTACTGGCATTAGTGGAAACCAACACAGGTGCGTACCGTCGCATCGCTAAAAGCACCACACAGACGCATAATACACGAACAAAAAATATATGGATCTGGCAGTTAGATGGAAAACGGCAAACATTAACCAAATTGCATAAGGTCAAATTAAATTATTTTATATTAGGTACATATTATTATACCTACATTAAAATACATTATAGAATCAACGTTGATATGTACGGTAAATTGTAGCATAAACTGTTAATAAAACATAAATATATCTTCACTAAACAAAAATAGTTTTACCTTTACAACATACTGGCTATATCGCGCTGTTACAGTTGCTAGCGTGATGTTTTATAGTCTATAGCCTTCCTCGTTAAATATACTAACTAATACAAAAATAGTTGTTCAATTCGAACCAGTAGTTCCGGAGATTAGCGCATTCAATCAATCAAATAAACTCTTAAGCTTTATAATATTGGTATAGATACGTCCTGTTTGTGCGTATACACCAATAATAAATATTTTATAACGAAAGCTACATATGTAACTTGTTTAAGTAAGTGGCACTAATATTCCACATTGTACCTCCTCCACAGAAGCAGAAAAGAATACTCCATTGCATATCCAACATATTTTTCGTACATCAACAACCTTCTTAATGACGCTCACTGAAGTGTGAGAGTGTCTTGATGTCGAATGAGTTGTCGTTTTACAACTGACAGATCATCTACGTTTAGCGGCGACATAATGGCGAATGGAGTGCGGGGATTTCATAATCAACTCTTGCTGAGAATTTATGTAAATAATGTGTGACTGATTAGATACCGCATGGGTTAGTGACGGAGATAAATTCATAAAACATTTCTTGAAGAGACAAAAAAGAAACAAGCTTTTAGTTATTTAAAGTAAGGTCATAAGTTTAGCATTTATGCAAACTTGTACTAAATATGTATAAAAAATTTTAGTTCAATCGTTTTTTTTTGGTTCGATTTGCTTTTTTGGAAGTTTTGCAGTTGATCTTTATAAACATATGTATGTACATACAAACATACATTGCAGGCAAGGCAAGTTGAGTAAAACCGTGTAATAAAATATATTTAAGGTTAATTACCATTTTTGTTGTAAAGATTGTATTTAATAATTTCCAAAAGATATTATATCGACCAGCCTCGAAGCCGTTTTTGGTAGTTCTGATCATTCTTGTACGGCAGAAATCTGATGGATTTTCGGTTAGTCTTGGTCAAAGATAAAACAATGTCTAAAAAAATTATAAGCTACACTACATACATAATTTACGTTATGTAAAAAGACTTTTTAACATCAGATAGGTACCTTTAAGCAGTAACTTAGTTAAAATGATATAAGATCATATAATGAAAGAAATGAAAGAAAGAAAAATGATATAATCCATCTATATTTAAATAGTATTAAACAAATAAAGCTTGTTAAAAAAAAATCAAAGGGCGATAAACACTTAACTAGTTTACACTGTTGACAAGATTTAAAAAGGGGTAACATTGAATAATGGTATGGTCACGCGCACATTATTAATTTTTTAAACTGCTCAAGTGGACGAAGCGTTGGCAACCCCTTTTTTATATTATTTTTGTCACGAACGCATATGTTTTCTATTTTAAAATGAACAATCGTCATAAAGGATTCGAAATCTACTTTAAAACCTCAAGTGTTTGTGTGATAATATGTAGAATACTAATTTTAAATTAATAATTGAAACATATTTAGGGGTTTCGTGGGAACGGGGATGAGAGAAAATTTTATTAATATAAAAAAAAAATCCTTCTTAATTATTTACAAGTTTTTCTTACGGAAACACTTATTCACACAGCAAACTCTGGAAAAATGAGAAATGAGGAAATGCGCCAAAGAACCGGAGTTATCGACACAGCTCTTAAAACCTGCTACGTGAGGTGGTAGCCAAGCCATTCGAAAAGAGTTTTAGCGGAGGCCAAGGACCGAAAGACATAGCGTGGGTAGACTTCCTGCTAGATGGGCATACGATATTGTCAGAGTGGCTAGTGGATAGTGTCAGAGAGCCAATGGATACAAGTGGAAACTTGTCGTACCTACAACGTGAAGTTACAGGACGCACCGTTTGTCCAGCAGTGATCTTCTTTCGGTTGATGATGATGTTGATGATGAGTTAGGCAGGTGTAGTCATTAAAGTTTCTAATCGAATTATTTTAATTTCGTTTCTAACACATTTCCTGTCTAATATTGCAATCATTACTAAAAACATTAATAATTCTACATTTTTAAATTACGATTTGAAAATTCCTAAT